TCCTGTTGCGGTTGAGCGGTTAAAATATGAACGAAGCACAGTGTCTGGCAGTTACAACACTATCTCCTGCTGCTGCTGCTGTTGTGAGGGAAGAGTGAATAGAGAAGAGACACTTGCGCGCCTCCTACCGCAAGAGGTGCTCTGACTTGACAAGCGGTGTGTGCACTCGTGGCGTTTGTTTGCTTTAAGGATTTACGAGGGCGAGCGTCAACCCTTTCAACCCAACCCTCTAGGTTGTCAAAGAACAACCAAACAGAAAAAAACATGAGTAAATAAGCTTAAATTACTTTGTAAACTTTAAGGCTAAAAATTGAGGTTATGTAGAGGTTATAAATTAAGGTTATGATGGAAATTGATCAGTGATGGTTTATGGGATCATTTTACGCACGTGATTATAGCCTGCGAGGGTTGTAATTATGAAAAGGCATGTTTGCCATAAAATATGAACGTTTCGGGTGCGAATTTTACGAGCGGCAACATCAGGTGGCTCGTAAACTGGAATCGCAGCACTAAAATAATAGTTTTACGACGTGTCAAACCGTTTATAGGCGATTTGCTACCACATCCAACACAAATTCGTAATTTAACAATACATAACCTCAATTTTTTTATAAAAAAAAATTTGTGGAGTTCTTTTTTAAAAGGGTTCTCCTCAGATTATCTTGAATGCTAATGCAAACGACTGTAAAGACGCTTCATTACAAAAGACACCACATAATAGGGTAAATGCTCATTGAGCGAGGGGTTTTTAAAACAATTGACAATCGAAACGCGCACTTTCCACTTCACTTAACTAACTACAACGCAGCCCTGAGCTTTTCTTATCCCGCGGCACAATATCTGGTTGAGAGAGTTCCCAGATAAAGTGGTTACATTCAATTGCCCTTGTTTTCGTTTTGCCTCGTTTCCTATTATTATGACATTAAATGCTACATAGACAATTTACACCTTTTTTCCTCAGTGTCCCAGTGGACGCTCGCATGCGGAAGGGACGAGTTTCATACATATATAAGGTTATCTTTGAACTCCCCAAAGTTCGGGTGGTGGGTTTTTGCCCTCCGAAGTTTTTCTTCGCTATATGAGCTCGGTTATTTGCTGGGAGCGGCGAATGTTGTCGTCCAGCCGGCGAGATAAGAGTCCCGGAGCGTGTGAGGGATGTTAATGTGCTTGGCGAAGACCGTGCAGGAAAGGAAAAGACCACCACCGCGTACGTGGACTTCCGCAGATGGGCGTCCTTTATAGACAATGGGGACATCCGCCGAAAAGGTGGCCACTTGTCGTCGGGCATAGGGGGGCAAGAACGGTCATCTAGATCGGGCCAAGCCGACATGCTAATAGAATGACCAACTGTCCGGACTCGACAACCTCGATTCGGGTGGCAATATCGCACGCCGGATAGGATTGCCTGAAATGGGGTCCGAGATTTGAGGTTTTGGTGGTTTTCGGACGCGGAAGCAAAAACAAACCGACATGGATGTAGGTATATTTCCTTTTTGTGGCCTGGTTTCTCTTCCATGCAAATCGGAAGACTTAAATATTTTGGTTATTTATAAAAATTATGGCGTCATTTTTTGAAAAATGTTTGGAAAACGTTGAAAAGCCCTGATTCTAATGGAGAGAGTTGCTTAAACTCGGCGAGGTTTTAAAAATCGTTTAAAATGTGAATTGAATTTTCTCCCCCTCGCATAATATGCTGGTAACACGAGATGCGGACGGCGGCGGCGGCTGCGCTTCCTCCTTTTTTTTTGCCTTCATTTATTCCGTTCCACTTTCAATCGTCCGTCCGTTGGCGCATTCATATTCCGCTCTCCCGCTTTCTTCCTGCTGCGGTCGGGAGGAGAAAAATATTTCCATTTTTCCTTTCGCACGGCGCGCACTGCTAAGCCGGCGTGCGCCTTTTCACTCAATCCTCATTTCCGCACAAAGTCATAGTCATTCTGAGATAATTTCAAATTGGATATTTTTGTGCGGTTGCGTCGAATTTATTGAAATGGAACATTGACTTTTTTACACATGATAAACTCAACCACACTAAATTTAACCTCAACTAACCTCAAAAGTTACACATGACAATAACGTCCAAAAAAAATTTTTTTAAATAAAATTTAATGTTTTTTTCATTAAAATAGATTTTTACCACTTTGTAAAAACTTTCTGAATTGTTTAGTTTGTGAATTGAGCTTTAGATTCTGTATTTTTCTGGAAATTGCAATTTTGTTGCATTTTTCCCATTTTCCATGCCTCGCAATAAAGCTGGAATATTTAAAAATGGAAATTCATCACAAAACCTCAATAGCATTCGGGGTGAACGAATCCCACCCACATGCCGCACATTCCCCCTCACCCCTCCGCTCACCCGCCGCGTAAACCACGCAAGTTTTATTTAGTATTTTCAATACGGCGATACGTCGAGCGGAATTTTTACATTTTTAATATGCATGCGCTTTGCTTATATTCGGCCGCACGGTTTTCATCCCCGGCATTACGTGCGCGTATATGTGTGCGTTGCATTTCGGGGGACGGGAGAACGGGCGGCAGCCACCACCCCACGTCGAACTCCATGGCAGTCGTCAAACTCGAGCGCTCAAGCTGATGCCGACCGGAATCGGGCGGAGTGCACACACACACCCTCACGCACACCGACTCAACGCTTAGGGGTAGTCGACACGCACACACCGAACACTTTTTGATTGACAGCTACGTCTGTCCAATCACGAGCGCGGAATACTGATGAGGCGCACGTCAATCACTCGATGCGAATGTGGGGCCTCGAGCAACGCAAGCGTTTCATCCCTTCAACGGGGGCGAAACCTTCGAAATTGTGAACTGGGCGCGTTTTCCAATTATACGACCTATACTTTTATATATCCTATGTAGGTATATAACTATTTCATCCGCGGTGGTAAAAAAAATGTGTTTTTACTTTTTCAGTAAAAAAAATTTTGTGGTTGCAGTTTGCAGTTGATAACTTAGTTGGGAGATGTATTGCGTAGTTAAGATTTCGTTTAAATAGGGGAAGCCGCGATACCCCACTAACGACTGAGCGCGACGCGAAATCTGCGAAAAGATTTATTCCAAGGGGGTGTGCGTCGCCAGCACGGGGGGCAAAATTTAAAATGTATGTGTCGTTTTTATGCGTTCGCTTAAGACGCGCCCGCCAGCGACGAGTTTGCTGAATTAAAAGCTATTCCGAGCAGGAACAGCAGCAGCAGGCCACGCAAAAAACCGCAATAACGCGCACGCCAACAACCGAAACACTCCACAAAAGAAATATTACTCGCGTGCAGTTAAAATAAAATCTGCAGTTGAATCAGAACCATGAAAATAAAAAATCAACATTTTTACATTTTTTACGATTTTTTCGTTTTTTAAGGTTCTGAAAATCAAAAATAACACATATTCAAATTAGGTATCAAAGAATTTGTTTTTCTTGGGACCGTCAAGTTGACTTGCAAAAACCGTCTTCGTTTTTTACCACTTTTTCTCTTCGTATTTCGCTCCCCTTGCATACATCTTAGTGTTTTTGCGTTTTTCAAGCGCGGCTCTTATCTGCGATACTCTCCGCTCCTCCATTCTCAGTCCTCGACCCGGCTTGCAGGAGCAATTCGACAAGAACTGCAAGAAGCAACTTGTTTCTACTTTGCTGGAGGTATAAGTATAGGTATAGCGTGGCATGCGACATTGCGGTATGGTAATGTCTTGGAAAAGTTTTCGTTTTTCGCGCTTGGAACGATTCTCGATTCTTGGTCGTCGTTGCCGGTTTTTTTTTTGTGGGCACGCCGCGGAATAAATGAGCTTCGAGATAATTCCGAAACTCTTATGCGGCATTACGAGGACGTAAAAAATATGCGAAAGCTGTAAAGAAATCCAGATTCAGTGAAGAAAGTTATCTGCGACTGCGGAGTAAATAAAAATTTAACACTCGGCGTGAGTCGTGCCCGTGGCCGCACACGAATGCAACGAATTAGAAGAGGAATTCATTACGCGGCGATACGAAACAAGTGAACTGTGTGTATGCGTGGTGCGGTGGAGATACCCGACGGTTAATCCTTTACAAAATTGAATCGTCATTCAGGGCAGTCCACAATACGTGGCGCAGAATGCACACACCTGAATAGTATTTAATCACTGGCCGCACGATTTACATAAAGCCGTGCATGCGTGATGGACCTGTCGGGTGGAGTTGAATGCGGCGACGACAGATAGCATTTATTAGTAGCGGATGGCAACGCGAAACAGGTATCTACAAAACGATTATAAATGGTAATTTGTCCGAATGGTGACCGACTGAGATGCGCGCGCGGAACGGATTGACATGAATGAAATAATAAATGAATCTACTACGATGCACATTTATGAAATTCATCTGGAAAAAATCTGTCGGCCACCGTGAACACAATGTAAAAATAAAATCCTATCGCAATATCAAAAAAGTCTTAAAATCCACTTTGAAAAAGTTTCGAAAAAATATTTCAAAGAAACGCGCGCGCGTCTTGAAGCGAAAGAACAAACACACGTCGTATCGCAGGGTAGTGAATGAAAGAAGACTTGGAAGAGAAAAAAAAACGAGACGGGAATCCGCCACGCGGTGCGTATTAAAGAACAGAAATGAAACGCGCAAAAAAAGGAAAGCACGCGATGAAAAAGAAGCAACGCGGAAAAGAACGAGATGTAACTTAAGAATGATTAATTAGAGTTTTTCTCGGCGCGCCGTGGAAGGGTCGTTTTCGGGGTCGTTTGCGTTTTTTTCGCGCTGCTGTCCCGCGCGTCTCGTGTCACGTCAATCCTTGTTTCTCATGTCTCCAGCGCGTTCTGCCATATTTCCAGCGTTCCGATGCATGTTTCTCGCACTTTGTCAACGCACTTAATGATGGACCTAGAGTTGTAACTGTTTATAATTAGATCTCGTCGTTTAACGTCTAGATTTGTGATCCAAAATTGAGTTTTGAAGTAGTTGAATGTTGAAAATCAAGTCAAGATTGAACCTAATGAACATGCAGATAATCGCCTTGCAGAAAACGGCCTCCCTAGACGTCTGAGGACAGCCTACACCAACACCCAGCTTCTGGAACTGGAGAAAGAGTTCCACTTCAACAAATATTTATGTCGACCAAGGAGGATTGAAATTGCTGCTTCGTTGGATCTCACTGAAAGACAAGTAATTATTAAATATTATAAAAAATTAGACGTAGATTCTAACCTTGTTTAAATTCTAGGTTAAAGTTTGGTTCCAAAATCGTCGTATGAAACACAAACGACAAAGTGTTGGTAAATCCGGTGAAGATGGCGATGATAAAGATTCCGTAACCAGTGAAGGAGGCAAGAGTAAAATGTCCGAAAAATATCTCGACGATGAGTTGGCGAAAAAGAGTTGTCAAGGTTGCGAGATGCCCACAGCGGCACTCTGTGGTACTAACCATGAAGACGTCCCTGATTTAGGCTCCAACCGAGGGAATAACAACAACACCCCCAGTGCTACTAACAACAACACCAGTTTCAATAACAACAGCAACGGCGCTAGCAGTGTTGCATCAAGTGGATCCTTTGATAAAATGATGGAGGAAGATAGCAGGTCTAACGAGGACACGGCTGCACATTCCTCGCCACGTGTAAACAAAAAGAACTCAATTGGAGGTAGCAGTAATATCAATATTAAACTAGAAGCAAGACGGAATTCTCCAAATTCTATAGATCGATTAGACCAACATAGCCGGAAGACAGTTTTAACGAAAATATCTCCGAATAGTATGAAGGATGGTCCCATGGATCAGGTCAAAGGAAACAAAGTTGTTATTAACAATCAAATGCAGAGTCCTTTGGGTAACACTTCTAGTGCCCTTGGTGGTAGTATGATGTATCCGCATCTTCAGAGGTCTTCACCTACCACAGCCACGGCAATTGCTTCCGCAACAGTTACAATACAAAATGTCCAACCGAACGTACCCAATGTCTCTGTACCTAATGGACCTAACGGATCAAACATTCCAGCATTCGCTGCGCGTGGAACCGGCGCTGCAGCGCAAAACAATCACTATCAGAATTACGCAATGGGCGATTACCGAACAGCAGCTGATCGCAAAGCGCAGTACTTGCAACAATATCAGAATAATCAAGATGTCTACGCTGAAGCAGATTATTCCAACCGGCTAGCAACTGGTCATAGCCAACTTGCTTCAGGTCACCATCCTAACAACACCACGGTGACAGCTACCAACCGCCGGCGACAATCCTATCAAAGTCCCTATCAATCCCAACAGCATTACTACTACAACAAAACCCATGAGGGTTATCAACAATCGTTACATAATAACAACCCTTACAATGCACAATACCAGGAGTACAATTATGGTTATCCAGGTGCGATGTATTCGAATGATGCTGGTGTGACCAATGAGATGACCCCACATATGGGTACACATGCAACTTCACATCCTACACCCGCGGCTCCTGCCGCTCCAGTTGCACATCACGAAGCTGCCTACTACAACAACGACCATGCAATGATGCAGCATAATGCAGGTGCTGCTTCCGGGAAGATCTACTATGACAGCGCTGCTTATAATGCAACCCAGACTACACCAGCGGATCCTTCGGGATACATCAGTGCTGCCGCCAGTAACCCGGCGGATATGTACAGTCCTAATCAAAGTCAAAACGCTGCGCAAGCAATGGCGTCTGCTATTATGACACCACCAACTAGTGTACAGACAGATTCCAGCGATAATTACAATTCTTTTCATCAGTTCTACGCTGGAGGTGAACCCCAAGGTCATCCACAGCAGACTCCGGGCGAAAACAGTAACAGTTCGTCGGATTTCAACTTTCTTAGCAACCTAGCAAATGACTACACGCCTGAATACTATCAGATTTGATTTGAGTGCAATTACTAAACACTAAGTTCTAAACAAATGTAAAAAATTCAACATGGATTCTGTAAAATAGCGTTACAATCAGTCAGAGTCAGAGATTCATCCGGGAGGCGACTTTAAACACTCGTAGTGCATAGCTAATTAATTACTAAAGTGATATTAATTATCTTGGACACATGAATAGATTTATTCATTGCAAGCATTCAACATGAACTCAAAGTGATATAAATCTAATTGATATACTTAAATAGATGAACAGAACAACACTTTTAATCCGTAGACAATCGAAACATTTGGAATCTAAACTAAAATGATTAAATAACAAACAGAAAGAAATCACCAAAGCTAAATTTAAACATAAAACACTTCAGAATAAATAGTAAGATTATATAAACATGCAAAAAGCAACAGTTAAACATTTGTACATATTATTTCATTGTAACATATTCACGTCACCAATTCACCAACGTATTGCAAAACAAAACCAAGCACCACTTCAATTCAATTCAATCGAATTCTATTCTATAATAATTGAATCATAACTAAACTCTAAAAATAAATGAAAGCAATGTTTATGCATTGCAATAATGTTAATTTCACTTTCAAAGTGCTAAACAAATGCATCATTTTTAAATAAACACTTGCCACATTTACACTACGAACACCCTGTATACATATTATTCAACACACACGATGACACCGCCACCTACACACAAAATTCGATACTAATCAATGAATAAGTTATCTAATTGAATATTTGTTGTTGTTCCACTGTACATAATTAAATATGTTGTGCGTACATATGATTTGCAATGAGTGGTTGTTTTTCTTCAGATGAACAACAAACACGTTGTCGCATAATTCGCATCAAGGCATGAATAAAACAAAATACTAAATGTATATGAACATGATATTGGTAACATTGATTATATAAATGAATAAGTAATGTAAGATTTTAATTAATTGATTATACGATGATAACATTATTAATATTATTAATTCCAAGAATTGTAATAATATCGCTCTTATTGAATAATGAAATGAACACACTTTTTATTGATTCTCCTTTATACATACATATTGCATTATTATTGATGGGGACGAGTCGGATGCGATGATAATGTGTTAGTTAAATTTATTTTTATTACTATTGTGTAATTTGATTGTAATTTGTAATTATGATTATAAGATTACATGATGAAATTGCGTTATTGTACTATTTCTATTATATAAATACTTATTCGATTGCGAATGCTATTTGTGATTTATTTATGTTTAAAGCGCCTAAGTAGACATCTTATGCGTTTTGAGAGGGTGAGTTTGAGTTGGCTGAAGTATAAGGGAGGAAGATGTCCAAATCGTTCCAAGTATTACGTTCATATTGGAAAATAAGGTGTCTGACATTGATGAATTACCGTGCGACTTGAGTGAGTGAGTCATCCTGCTGTTTCTACCCTTCATACTTGTGATCCCCGTGATACGTCCTCCGTGAGATTCATAAAACGCATATTTTAATTCATTGCTGTTCTTTTAATATTGTATATTGGTAAATTTATCAACAATTATCAGTTTATATTAGAACTGCGCTTGTGCAGATTTGAAATACTGTTGTACGGCTACATTTACATCTTGTAAGTATATTTGGTTGCATAGAGTAACAAAAACAAAATTCTAGTGTTGTGTTTTATCTCTAAAAAAAATAAATAAATGTAGTGATAGTACTTAGTCCTAATATATATTTTAAAATATTATGTACAGTTAAAAACAATAGTTTACACTATAAAACTTGAAAGAATGGAGTAAGTTACTACAAATAAGATAATTTATTTGTATGTAAATACATAACCTCTGATGTTTTAATAACAACTTTTGTTTTATTCCGTTCTTTCTAGGAATATGTTTGCAGAGCAATCAATTTAATTCCATATCAATGGATAGTCAAGAAACATGTCCACAGTGTGCGGGCACACTCTCGAATGGACCGACTCGTTTAGTACAAGACAATTGTGGGCATAAAAAAATGCAGGCTGTGCCTTCTAAACGATGAAGACTTCTGTAAGCAATGCTCCTTGGAATTTCCAGACCACACTCCACTTCATGCTCAAATTGATTGCCATACAGCAGTCATTACCTACCAGAAAAAGTCTGACAATGAGGTTGATGATAAACTAAATAAAGTTATAATCAAGCAGGAGCAGCTTGATGCAGAAGTGCCAGATGTGCCTGAACCAGACAAACCAGAAGGAACAGGCCTTAATAAAACTAATAAATTAACCACAAGCAAAATTTTATCTGTACAGCACATTAGTTTCGATTCAGTTAAACAGTTGTATACATGCAGCTTTTGCAACAAAAGCTTTACAGGGAAATCTAAAGTGAAATATCATAAATATTGTAATGGAGGTAAGAAAATTGTAGTTTTTTCTTAGAATTATTTGCTTATATTATAAATAATTCATTGTAGAGAAGCGTCCGCACGTTTGTGATATCTGTAATCAGGGTTTTATAGCAAAGTCGCACTACACCGCTCATTTATTAACGCATCAAAAGTTGAAACCGTATAAATGTACAGCAGCTGGATGCGGAAAAACATTTTCAGAGCGCAGTAAACTAAACAGGCATCGCTCTACTCATGGCACTAACAGACCGTTTATTTGCCAGGAGTGTGGTAAATCATTTAAAATTAAAGAAAATCTGCGAACGCATTGTTTGATTCATAAAAAAGAGAAACCATACGCATGCACTGAGTGTGATTTACGATTTAGTCATTCTTCTAATTTAAAGAAACATTTAGCTGTGCATACAAGTAAGTATAATCTATACAAAACAATCCATTTTGATGCAAAACAAAACAAAATGGCGTTATATTTAAGGTGAGAAAGCACATATGTGTGACCAATGTGGAAAACGTTACAAATTAAAATGGGCGTTAACTCTCCATCGCAGAGTTCACGCTAAAACGCGTCCTAATAAATGTTCAACATGTCACAAAGCCTTCGTCCACCTTAAAGACTTAGCTCGCCATGAATTAATTCACGCGGAGAGCAAAGGTTTTCGATGCGGTATTTGTTCCTCGACGTTCAGACGAAAAGACAATCTGAATCGCCACGCACGTAATACTCATCCGGGAAAGAAACCGCAAATTATCAAATGTGTAGATACACCGAACGCAATCAAAGTTATCACTTCACAGCCACCAGCGCCTACGATAACTAAAACAGTCAAAACGGAAACTATTCCATCAATGCCTGATAAATCATTGCAAAAGGATGTAACTCCAGTTGTGAAGTCTCATCCAGTGCAACCAGTACATGTGCCAGTAAAACTTGCATTTAAAACATTGTCATTCAGGAGAGATTATAAAATTAACAAGTAAGTTACTAAACAAAGTTAAAATTGTTTTATATTGACATTATTTTCGTAGTGATTTTGTCGAGTCGAAACCAGATCATGTAAGTATCTACGAAAAAATCCTCAAACCCAGGAGTGATATACAACGCACGTCAACTGTAACAACTAATACGAGAAATGACTCGGAAATAACCAAAGAAAGTGCGAGTGTCTTTGAGCAGACTATTCTTACACCGTTTAACGCTCCGCCGCATTACGAAACATCGTTTGACAATAAACAACACGCAGTAATCAAGAACATCAAGTTCAAGCTGCCTGATAAGTATACAAATCTGAACACCACGAGCAAGAAATCCATGATGCCGGATGGTAACATCGCAACTACGTCAGTTATAGTTAACACAACAGGTAACCAACAGACAGTCTAGTATCAACCAAATATGAAATTTTGTAATATTAATATTTTAAATATTTAAATATTTTCAATACAAATACAACAAATTAAATATTTAATGTATATATGATTACGGTGTATATATCGTAAATATTTTTATGTACTTCATACAAAATATAAATTCGGGGTTTTAATAGTGCTAGTATAAATATTATTAAGTAAAAAGTTAAGTAAATATAAATTATTTATGTGTTAGAAGGCAGTTGATGGCTAATATTCGTTTATATTATTTTAGTTGGCAAAATTTGTCATACTTCTACTCATTATGGAAGTTAGTCGTTTATTAATTAATTAAAAGGCACTTTTTGGTTTAGTTTGTGGGTATTGACGCACGCGACTAGTTTTCTTCGCTTTGTCACAACAAGGTGGAGGTGGAGTTGGTTTATGCTCCATGTAACGCTTGTAGATTCTATAAAAAAAATAGGTAATATGATTAATTTTGTCATATAAGTAAAATTTCGCTTACACTCTGTATGATTCACTGCGAAGGAAATCCAGCAGATGAGAGACGCCAAGTTTCAACTGATCGGCAATCGGAGGTACCCAATCATTGCCTTCGAATTTAAACGCAGACTTCTGGGTGTAATCCAGAGAACCGATTTCAGGCGGAAGAATCGTCAAACGATTGCCTTGCAAGTGTAATTCGCGCAGGCGTGGTAATTCCCCGACTTCTTTAGGTAATTCAATGATGTCGTTTTCACGCAAAACCAACTAAAACAGCGATATTATCATCAAATGAAATAATTTTTAATATTTACTCACAATTTGTAAGTTTTTCAAGTTTTTAATTTCTGCTGGAATGCACTCAAAGTCATTATCACCCAGATATAACGCCCTGAGAGTTTCCATGATGAAGAAATTGCCTGGCAGTGAAGTTTCCTTTAAATTGTTGTAGGTAAGGTCCAATACTTCAAGCATTGGGAATGCACCAAAACCCCTGGGCAATTCATACAGTTTATTCAGTGATAAATTCAAAATTCTTAGCTTTGGCATAGATGACAATGACATTGGAAGCTCTTCAATGTTATTGTTTGAAAGGTTCAAGATTTCCAGATTGAATAAATTTGCCAGTGATGCAGGAACACCTATATTTAAAAAATATTTATTAAATTCATCAAATTAAGGCTGGATATTTATACTAACTTCTTAACTTGTTGTGGCTGAGTGTTATTCTCGTCAGGTGTTGCATATTCACTGCAAAACATGTTTTATTTGTTATTAGTTTAGCAGTTTTTTTAAATTTTGTTGAAAACTTTTGAATTTGCCGCGGTTGGCGACCCAACCCACTTCCAGGTTAGACAGCAGCAAACCAGCCGTCTCTTCAATGGCCAAATTTGGGCAAATCAAGAATTATCAACGCTTGCTTGTGATACGTACGCAATCCAGGTAGCTCATCGAAGCTGCTGACACCTTTGTCGACCAAATCCACCTCGGGATTATGCGTGTCGCGGGCTTCTTCAATCACTTTCTTTGCCTTCGACATTTTCGAAGCGTTTGGCAGACAGGATACTGGCGCTTCGTTCATTGCGCGCGCACTCGGTTAGATTCAAAGAGGTATGATATATGTATGCAATTAAAAATCGCACAACTAATATTAGCTGCAAGAGTCGCGCAAAACGGCCGTACTTGACGCACACCTGCTTGGAATTACACAATAATCGCTTCTGCTGCCCACGGCTTCCACTCTCTGTGGTCTCGTTTCTGCTATTTCTGAAATGCAACAGTTTTTACTGGTGGGGTGGACGACGGAAGCAAAATGTTTATTTTATCTCAGTTTATGCTAAATCTATTTTTATTTTTCGGTTTGTTCACAAATAGAATGCATGTGCAGTATTTAAATTTAGTGTTTAAACGTTTTTAAATGATTTGCATCATAATCTTTTAAATACGGCAACAATGATTAGAATTTGGTATTCTATTTAATAGATAATTGAAGAATTAATACTTAAATTTACAATAACATGCAAAATGCAACTTTAAATCGTGTTTACGAGCGTAAATAATTACACTTGCTTAATTCTAACTCTCTAACTTCCTCCTAGATGGCGCTGCATGCACTCACTTTTCTCCTTCGTTACTGTCATTTTTTGCTTCCCCCCAAAGTCCGCCATTTTATCAAACGCTTTGCAACGTTTGCTGGTGTTTTGCGTCGTATTATTGAAAAAGTGTAATAATCGCAGTAAAATCACAAAATAATAGCAAAACGAAAGTTCCGACCCTCTACAACTCCTGAACAACATAGTTTATACCTTGAAAACTACACCTAAGTGAATATTTCGTCTACAAATCAACAAAAAATGGCAACGAAACGTGTCCGCTATTCCGATACCTCGTCGTCTGGCACCGAGAGCGACAACGATCACGATGAATACAACAAATTCAACACCATGAAGCGAAAACAACGTGAGCCTAAATCTTTCTCTAAAAACGCATTAATGGCACGCGAAAACCGCCTCAAGAAAAAACTATACATGGAAAATCTTGAACGTGAGTTAACCAAAGAGCGTCAGAAAAATAAAAAGTACATGAATGTCCTGAAGCGACAAGCAGATGTTATCCAGAAACACGAACGCGAAATTAAGTATATGCGTGGTGTGCTCGCCAACAACTCTGATATTTCCAAGCTGCTGAAAACTTTACATTACAACACTGGAATGGCAGTTGGGACATCATTGAATAAGAATTTCACAATAAGGGGCAACAATGAGCAACAACCAGAGAAGATTACACAACCTTCAGCTGCTGATGTCATCATTACAGATTTACATCCATGGAGTGATGCACAACTTACCAATGGAGGTTTGTCTCCACCAGACTCCATTCAGGATCCAATTTTTGATCACTTTGACTTTGATTTACCAGCTTTAGATATTCAATTCGACGACTTACTTGATGTACCGCCGATTTCGCCATCGTTAGATGATCACAACTACACTCTAGCCTCATCTGAAACTGATGAGAGCTTGGGTGTCTGTCTGCACATCTCCAATCACAAGGTTTCCCTGGAATACTGTGCACAATGTCATGAGAATGCCAGCAGAGTATGGAGTGAGGAGGATTGCATCTGAATGCATTTGGAGGGACAAGATGCACATGCCTTGTCTGCACCTGGAGCTAATTTAACACTAAAATGTCTGTATCAGATTGGGTTCATTGTTAGTTTGCATTTATATTCATTAAGTTAGCTGTGCTGCACTTTCCTTACTTTGATTAGTGATAGGTTGTTTGTGAGGATGTTGTTATTAGGATTTTTTTAATTTCCAGGATGTTATGCTGAGTTTAGTCAGATGCCTAACAGGGACCGCACTGGGGGTGTTGATGGTGATGCTGTCATCTCAACTGATTTTGATGAAGGTGGGAATTTCATTTGCTATGAGATGTATTTGTTCAATCAAACATCGCGATTGTGTGTTGATATTTTATTTGTTTGATTGAACAAATACGCGGCATTTCTCTCCCTTTGGCGACTTTAATAATACGGCAAGCGATTTGTTTTCAGTCCAATACTGTGAGGCGATGACGCGGGTTAAGGACAGGTGGAGTATACACAAATGTATCGTTCCACACAACATGACAATTTATATCATGTATAATTACTTCTTAAACAATTATTCAATATGATGAAGAAATCATGTTTTATACTTGATCAATTGTTAAGAAGTAGTTTTAAATGAAATATGCAACTTAATGGGCTAGAATTGACATTTTTTGTTCTAAATTTTTATTATATATACTTAAAAAACTATTTTTATTTAAAATCTAGCTCATTAAGACATAATTATTCAATGATTTAGACAGTTTTATGGTCTAAATTATTCAAAACTTTTTTTCAGAACTTGTGAATACGTTTCCCCATCAAAAACTATTAAACAAGTTGCCTTCTTTAAGTTTCAGAAGAAGAATTTGCCCTGTGTGCACCCCAAGGTGGAGTTGGTAACTGAGCATAACAAAACAGTGACAAACGGTAAAATAAAGTTGATTGGAAGCTCAAAATCATGTAAAAAAAAAACCAATGATCATTCATTCATATAAAATCGTGCGTGTAAATATAATTCTTAAAAGTATTTGCTCTCCAATCAAAAACTTTATGTTACTTCAACTCTAAATAATCTAAGATTCGGTTCTTGATTAACTATTTAGTGACTAGTGATATTAAAATATGGAATAGGATAAGTAAGGAAAGTTGCACATATTAAATTATTTATATAAAAAAAGAATTTGTTTACTACTACACACTTTGTTATCTAATTTGCACAGATTCGTTCCTATCGCCGTCCAAGTTTCTCAGAATACTCTCCTGTTCCTCACGAGGGTAATCGATGTGCGCGCAGTTGAATGTATCACAGAATGTTTGTACGAATTGTGGAGTGACAGCCTCTATTCCAACGTCTTTTTTAGTTTCTTGACTTATGCTAGTGACACCTTTATCTTTAATACCACAAGGTACGATGTTGTCGAACCACGTGAGGTCGACATTACAGTTGAGCGCTAGTCCGTGAGTGGTTATAAAACGACTGCCGTGAATACCAATAGCACAAACCTACAGTGATAATTTTGTTTTTAAAAAATGGTAAGATACAAACAAAACTTAACAATACCTTCTTGTCATTAATCCAGATACCAGTGTATGGTGACATAGCAGCAGGAAGACCATAATACTTCTTACAAAGATTAATAATACAATTCTCCAAGGCATGGACATACCATTTGATGCTACATCTGTAATGTTTGAGATTAATGATAGGATATGCTACAAGCTGGCCAGGACCATGAAAAGTGATTAAACCTCCTCTGTTTGTTTTATGAAATTCAGCACCTAGAAGATATTTAGAAGTAGAACAAACTATAATTTAGGTTATATACATTGGTAGAATCTTACCAGTGGCTTTCAATAACTTAATATCAGCATCACTGTAGTCTCTTGTCCTGATTCCTATGGTATAAACAGGAGTGTGTTCAACAATGAGTAGGGTATCATGGTCCTCGGCAGGATCTTGTTGTTTATGGTGTCGGCCAGCCAATACCGCCTGCAGTTGAAGGCCTTTGGCGTATGACGTTCTACCTGCATTCCAAATTTTCAGCACATGCTTGTTGAGCATCGTTACTATTATCAACAATTATTATATAAACATTGTGTTGCGGTGAGTGTCATCAATAATTAGTCCGAGGTTGCACGAAGTATAATGTCGTATCAACTCGTACTTCTGTCACTATCTCATATTTTAGAGTAGAGAAATATGAAAAAAAAAATGAATGAGCAGGAGTCAGATTTATTTATTATCAGTTTAGGATTATTTTGATGATACTAAAATGCTGTTTACAAAATATTTAATTTCTTTTCAATTCTTCAACAAAAAATTATCTATAAGTTTGCTTAACCATATCTCGAGTGTAATCAATTGTAATTTTTCCTTATCAGGATTATTGATATTCTGCATGTGGGAACACTTGAGTCACTTGAGTTCAGTGGGTCACCCTCTGGCCCAATATTCTACATTGCCACTATTTTTTACTAGATAATTAATATAATGAACATTTCTTAAATTATCACAGATACAGTTGAATTAGAACTAATAATATTGTCATAGTAGTAGCGCTTATCTTCACTCCAGCACCAGTAGTATCTATTTCCTCTGGCTTCCTACTGTGGTCCCCAATATGCTTGGTTTCATTATGGACAGGGACAGTAGAATTATCATCAAGATTCTTTCCCGTCGTAATCTGATGTTTGTGCGAGTGCTTAGTTGTAGAATTTGCTGCATGATGAGATGTAGAAGGTGACTGACTAGAAACCTCAGGAGTTTTCGTTGACGGAATTTCGGGTTGCTTAGAAGGTTCCGTAATATCTTCATCTGTGAAGTCGGGAGTAGATTCCGATGTGGTTTCCGGATAACTGGTCAAACGCACTGTTTCGGTGATCCAATCGTAAAGATATGGAACACTTGCATAGATTCCCGGATATTCTTTGCTTGCGCAACCTTCTCCAGTTGAAATCACACCAATCAGGTAACCGGAAGTTACTAAAGGACCACCGGAATCACCTTGGCAGGCATCATGTTCCCCAGCTTCATCATGAGCACACAACATGCTTGGCATGATTGTACCATTACCGTACATTTCATCACAACGTTCATTAGTTATGCGATTCACTAGAGTAGTGAGAAGAGTTTCACTAACTTCAGTGGATTCCTAAAGAATTTCATAGGATAAATTTTGTACAAAAATTTTTGTGGAATAAACTTACAAATTGTTGGACACCCCATCCACTGACGACACATTCAAGATGGTGGCTATCATTTGCTGCTAATGGAATAGTTGATATGAGATGCGTTATTGGAAAACTCGAAGACAACTAAAAATGTTATTAATTTTTTTTTAAATTTCAGTTTATCTCAATTTAGTTTATGAAATATACCTTGAGAATAGCCACATCGTTTTCCATCGATGTTTTATTAAATTCCGGATGTACTACAATCTGTGAGATGTTCCTGAAGATAGTATCCTCTTTAATTGTGAGATTTAATTGACCTGCTACTACAGAAACCACAATTGGTGGTAATACACCACCCCATCGGTAAAACATACAGTGGGCTGCTGTTAATACATGGTTTTCTGTGATCAGTGAACCACCACAGAAGTGTTTATCATTGTAGGTTTTTCTAAGTGAAACCTAAAGTCCAAACCGATAAATTTAACATCTTTTTCTATATTTTTAGGAGTTTATATTACCTGGTAAGGAAATTCACCCTCTTCAGCAGGCCGTCCACCCACAATTCTATTATCAGTAGCGCCGCATTTTTCTACACCTGCCCAGAAAAATATTCCAGATATTTTTATTGTATCCTCTTTTCTCGTTATCAGAAAGCATATTAACACAAACGAACGCAACGTCATCGTCAAGACAAAACATCACAAACCGCTATTTTATCGCTAACAAGCAAACAAAAGCACACGCGCTCACAAACAACTCATCACGACGTGCCTTAATTGTTGTGTTATGCAGATGTTGCAATTATACTATTTTGCATTTTACAAGTAAATAATTATTTTGTAATGGTTTGCATACCTAAAGCGACGATGGCCAAGATCACCCCGTGGAAAATCGCACTTTGCATCATCGTGTTCATCGCACTTTTGCCTCAGACTCTCACGACTGCGTTCTCGTGATCGCGACGTATTGTTTTATTTTCTTAATTCACATATCGCATAAGATTAGCATTCCTTATCAAAATAGATTCCGCGATTATCAGCGTCGATAGCATTTGAATTTATTGGAGTAATATCGTATTACGCACCACGTTTCGCACGTGGTTTACGCATCAATGGGTATGTTAGGTGTGGCACTTGTGAGGGCAGGTGATAAAAGATAAGCATGAAACAATGAGCACTTGTAATTGTAAAAGAATGTTGAATAGCGTTTATTGAATAAGGCGTCTCTTAATCTGCGTCTGCTGCGCTCTGCTTGTACTTAGCTACTGCACCGGGCGCACGCAGTGCCGGTGTTGCGCGGGAAAATAATGTAATGTATGTTGTGTTGTTGGTTGCCTACGTTACGCATTTCGCTAACACTCGACCGTCCTGACTCTCACTCGTCCTCGAGTGTGTATGCTGCGAAGCGGGCTGGAACCTTTGTGACTCGTGAGCTCTTCCTTACGTTTTTCACCTCGGCAGTGGCGCTTCCACTTGCCGGAACTTCTTCTCCTGCAACGTCGTAATTTGTTCAAAATGGCGGCCCTGGAACCAAAATTGGCTATAAAACGGCGAAAGAAACTAGCCATTCCCAGGAAACGCCGTAGCTGGTGGATATCTGTAGGCGCAGGATACCCGAGATCGCTCGTAGTTTTGCGGGGCCAGGCTCTATGCCATCGGCACTCAGAATGAACCCCAAATACCCACACGCTCCTGCATGAAGTAGCATTTTTCGATCCTCAGCGTAAATCCGGCACCTCTCAACGCCATCAGGGTCTTGGTTAACCTGACTCGCATGTCCTTCCAATCACGCGCAGGTATGAGGATGTCGTCGAGGTAGTACATCACCGTGTCGTTACGGAGAGGTCCCAAAACCTTTTGCATTAGTTTTGAGAAGTACGAGGGGGCATTGGTCAAGCCAAATACCATTCTGGTAAACTCACCCGTTTGGTCTGGAGTAATAAAAGCTGTCTTTCTGCGTGCTTCTTCCGACAATGGTACCTGGAGGTAACCATGAGCCAAATCAAGTGTCGTGAAGTACCTTGCATCGCGAATCTGTGTCAGATGTTCATCCATGTCGGGCAGCGGAAATGGCAATGGTTCGGTCTGGTTGTTCAACCGTCGATAGTCGACAACCATTCGGTACTCCCCAGTCTTCTTCTTCACCAGCAGTACAGGGCTGGCGTATGGTGAGGTCGTGTCGGTGACTAGACCTGCATCTCTGTATTCGTTGATGATGGTGTTGAGCGCCTCGCGCTCATCGGCACTACATCTGTAAGGCTTCTGGCGCACGGGTTGACTGCCCGGCACCTCGGTGATGTCCATTTGTAGGACCGTTGTGCATCCTAACTCGGAGGAATCGATCGCAATGGTATCGCGGAACTCGTTGAGGAGGCCATGCAGCTCGTTCACTGTGTCCGTATCCAAATTGTCGTCCACGTTGATGACCTCGAGTGGAATGGGTTGCTGGCGGGGCTCAGCTTGCTCCAAATTCAGTACCTCGCCCCGAAACAGACTCGTGTTCTGAGATACATGAGTGGGCTCAACCGCCCAATTGATCAGTGGAAAAGCATGCGTTTCCGTACCTGAGACAACCTCTACCAGGTTTACGGAACGTGGTGGAATGTTCGCTTCCGTCGTCACTCGATTTGACGCGCGCTTCTTCGCCTCGACTTCCAAAGCAGAGAACGGATCATCACTACGGTACGTAAATATCAGGTCGTCATCAATGCGCATGTAGACGATAGACGGGTTCTCGGTGAATGGTCGACCGATGATGGCGTCCACGCTCTGAACGTCGTCCGGAACGATGCTAAAGACTATTTCTGAGAGAACCACACCATCGATGGCAACATCCGCCGTGACAAATCCGGGAGATTTGACAACATGGTTTGCGGGACCAAATGCCTTCAGCAAGGTCTCCTTGCGCTGAATGGTAAAGCCTGCGGCGATGGCTTGCGACGCCTTCAGGGTGCACTCCGAACTTCCTGGATCAATCAAGCTCTGGAACGCCATTCCGTTGCATGTGATTGGCTTCAAGTATTTGAGCACACCATCATTGTCTTGCGAAGTAATGATCTTTACTTGTCCATTACTCTTTGCGGCTGTCTCCGCTGGACGGGTTTCGGGCTTGGATAGTCCGCGTGGTTTTGGTGGGATAGGGCAATCTCTGGCGAGGTGTCCCTCCTTGTTGCAGTTGAAGCATTTCATGACTCGACTTGTAGTCGGCTGTGGCGGTGCTGGGGTTGCGGACCGCCCTACTTCTGATGGTTTCTTCATGGGCGCACCATAGGAATCCATCACACGTGGTGCATGGGTTGATTGACTCCTGGGAGAAGGAAACAAGCGCTCCTCACGAGCCTTGTGCACACGCAAATAACTCAGCAAGTCATGGTACAGACTGTTGGTGTCGGCGTGACGTTGTGCCATCATGGCTGTGCACAGCTGCTTATCATACAGCCCAATAAGCAGTTGTTCCTTCTTCTCCTCCAGGCTCAATTCCAACCCTGCACATAAATGAAGTTTGTTGTAAAAGTAATCAGTAATATCAAGGTCTTTGGATTGTACATAACTTTCCATCCGCTTCCAACGAGTAGCAAAACTGTCTTGTTGGATGAAGGTGTTGGTGAAGGCGGCTTCAAAATCGACTAACGTGTGCACGCCCTGCAGATCCTGGAACCATACGGCGGGTCCTCCAGCGAGATGCGTTCGCACAACCTCTAGCGCGTACGCGTCGTTCCACTGATGTAGTTGGCATTGGCGGCGTAGCGATGCCAACCACTCTGAGGCACTCTTCTTCGCGTCGAACGTCGTAAGTCCGGACTGTGCACCCGGTGCACTATGGTAGGTGGTGGCCGGTGGCGATGGGCGCTGCGCCATTGCCATCGACTGCATTAACGTATTGAACATTTGCATCACGCCGGCCAGGGTGGCGGCGTCCGTGCCAGGTTGTGGTGGCATCGGTTGTTGCGACGCACCAGCTTCGTTTCCATCATCGCCCATCGTGGATGTAGAACGTCTTTCGGCTTCTCGGGGATACTCGCGCGAATCGTCGTTGGCCGGGACGTTGGCCGTTACTCGTGCGTTCCGTTGTGCCCCCTTCGGCACGTGTTCTAACCTCCAAGATTTCCGTTGGCGCGGAAAAAAAACTAGGCTGCCTCGCGCAGGATGCTCTCAATAATGCTCAAGTCTCACGTCTTACCTGTTCATCCCACTTCTGAGATGTTAGGTGTGGCACTTGTGAGGGCAGGTGATAAAAGATAAGCATGAAACAATGAGCACTTGTAATTGTAAAAGAATGTTGAATAGCGTTTATTGAATAAGGCGTCTCTTAATCTGCGTCTGCTGCGCTCTGCTTGTACTTATTACTGCACCGGCGCACGCAGTGCGCCGGTGTTGCGCGGGGAAAAATAATGTAATGTATGTTGTGTTGTTGGTTGCCTACGTTACGCATTTCGCTAACAGGTAATTCACATATTTTCACAATACTTTCGATTATATGCGCTTCTAAATTGAGATTATCTTATAGCCATCAGCACTTGACTTTAATAATATTGTGAATTTTCTAGTATTTATAGAATTCGAAACGGAAACGATTAATTGAGACTTTTCCGTTTGTTTGACGGTATTTTACAACAAGTTTTTAAAAGAAAGACTGAGATTTTGGCACTGCTAGCGGGTATTTGTAGAAAAATTCATTGTCAAATGGCAACAATGCAAGGATACAACGGCGAACCCGGCTTATCGGGCATTTTCTCTTTGTTTGTATCACATAGTTTTCTGTTTTGCTGAGTTTTCAAGTGCACGGTGTTATAACATTACACCATGTTCGTAAATTTATGGCTAGGAGTAAAATTTGTGTCAGGAAATGTTAATAAATGATTACACAGTAAATGAGCGGAAATTTTTATCATTAACAAATAGAAAAAACACTTAAATTAAGTACTTATGTATTAGATTTTTTGTTACTGAAATTTCATCAATTTGAAATTTTCTTTTGATTCCGCAACCAAACATACGCGTTTTTTATATGAAATTAAATCAATACAAATACTAATATTTAATTATACCAATTTGGTGTTTTTAGTAATATATTTAATTATAATGTAGTATTATACTATATTTCTCGTTATAATGTAATATTCTTTGATTAAATTTGAAACATGTTTTTTGTCGGTGATGCTAAATTTGTTTCGACTGGCGCTGCGATCGCCCAAGCATTACGTCACATCATTCAACACCGCAAATGCGATACGCCGCCGCCGCAAACCAATAAAATAAAGCCAAAGTCGCCAAAGAACGCAACTAAAATGGCGTGGTGCAGAGTGTCGATTCCCGTTTGCGAATAGTGTTTTATCGTGCAAAACCAAGCATCACCTTGCCTCAGTTGGGGGTTTCAACTTTCGATAGACGCTGTTCACCACGCGCCGACACGATGGACGCTGTGAAGTCGTTTAACGCGGAGGTAAGTCCAAATCCACAGCGTCTCCCATAGACCAAACCCGGGGGCCTCCCAAAACATCTTCAATACAATGCATCTTTTGTATTACCTTACCTTCGATTTACTAACGCGCGTTTTGTAGCTTTCTTCGCTCTACGATGTGAAACCGCCGATATCCAAGGCGAAGATGACAGCGCTGACGCGCGGCGCCATCAAAGCCATCAAATTCTACAAACATGTTGTGCAGAGTGTTGAGAAGTTCATCCTCAAGTGCAAGCCGGAGTACAAGGTACCCGGGCTGTACGTAATCGACAGCATTGTGCGTCAATCGCGGCATCAGTTCGGCACCGACAAAGATGTGTTTGCGCCCAGATTCGCCAAAAATATGCAGCAGACCTTTGTTAATCTTTATAAATGTCCACCAGAAGATAAGGTAAGCAACAGTAATTCCTAAGCACTGTACACCATCATAAAATTGTTATTAGCACAAGATATTAATGCATTTGATATAATTTTTAGAGTAAAGTGATAAGGGTGTTAAACTTATGGCAGAAGAATCAAGTATTTGCACCAGATGTAATTCAGCCCCTGTTTGACTTGGCTGATCCCAATCATCCAATGCACAAGGAGGTGAACAACATGCAGAATAATGGGAATGCTGGTGGCCCTACAGGGATGCTCAAAGGTATGTTGGGTTTAAAGTTCTACTTGTTATAATATGTGCAGTATGCCAAAGATCAGAGTTTTAGAACGCCATAAATTTACTAAATTCGATTCAAAATATCTGAAATTTTGTTATTTTACATGTTATTTTACACTTTATTCTGTTCATTTTTGCGCATTTTATGCGAAAATGAGCGTTACATCGAATCTGTGACCTCTACTTGCGAATCTTCGAAAGGTAAGGGTGCTTCTAAGGTGTAAAATGACTTAGTTTGTTTGAAACTGTCTTTTTCACAATCATAACAATATTGATTTGTATTAATTTCTTTAAAGTACAATATGAATTTGTGAAAAAGTCCGTGTCAAATTTGAAAATTTAAAATTTGAATTTTATTTGAAATGAATAGTTGTGAAATTAGGTTAGAATTATTCATAAATGGCATACTGCGCGAATGTAGGCATCTGTCTAAATAAGTTGTTCATAACTAGGTTCGCCTGCGCTACAGAAGACACCGACCAAGACGCCGTCGTCTACCGATCCGGCCACGTTGGCCCAGCTAGGAACGATCGCTAATAATCCGGTACATATCGTGATGCGATACTCTGTTACAAATACGACCGATTGCTGCGCCACGCATTCGTCCCGAGTTGTCAGTTGTCATCCAGCGTGTTTCAGAGCGACTTTGCAAGACGTTCCAAGTATCTTGCCACAAAGTTTATGACACAATATGTGCATACATTAAGACATTCATGTTTTAATAAGTTTGATTGTAAACTGTTAGGTTTATTTCTTCTTTTTTTTTTTATTTAATCGTTGAGATTTTAGCATTTTAGAGGATTTTTACTGAAATAATTGTAGTTAGATGCTATATAGACAATTTGTTGTTAATTTAGGCAAAATTTCAATCACTCAAGCAGGATTTTTTGTTTATAAGTTTTCTTCATCACATCAGACTTCAAATATCTTCAATTATTGAAATTCTTATATTTATTGATTATGTCTTAAATTTATTTAACTAAATTAGTATATATTCAGAGATTTTAGAAGGAACTCATGGACAAAAAATGCATAGTTCAAGTTTAGATTGAGTTTAGATCACTAAAAATTTAATAATACTAAAATCTTTGAGGTTTATAACTAAGTGTGGCATTAATTGCATCAAAAATGAATGAATGTTACTCTGAGCACGCTGATTCAACGACAACAAATGCATTACGACGAATCCTTGAATGAACAACTTATATAGACAGAATTACTTATATTATCATGTTTACTTAATCATTACATATGTAAACATTTCATATACTAAAGTACCGCTCTTTACAGTATTTTCAGAGCTCTCTGGATCAAAACACAATTGCCCAGTTGCAACACTTGCAACGTTTATTGCATCGGCAGGGTGATGGTAGCACTAAACCTGAAGCTGGTGCTCAAGTACACTTTGATCGAAAACTCCTCGATTTTGACTATGGCAGTGACGAAGAGGACGATCCCACAAACTCCTCGCCGAAGATTCAAAACAGTCAGACTATCGACACGGTCGGTAGTTTATTGTCTAACCCTGAGGTACTCCGCCAGTTACAAACACTGCAAGCTTCAATGTCCAATCAAAATAATGCGCACGGAGAGTTCGATATGGAGAAACTCCGTAAACTACAAGAGATGAAACAACAAGAGGAGGAGTTCGATAAACATTTGGCACAAACGCTGCCGAATCTTCCATTTGCAGCTGAATGCGAATTTAAACCCAACACCAACTCACCGTCGTTGTTTAACAACTTTTTCTTGCCCACTGATATGTCACAGCCACCACCTGGATACAAACCCACAATCCAGACTAAAGAAGACAATGCACACGAGAGCGAAGTGGAGTTTGTCGGGACAAATGACGATATGGAAGTGATTGATATTGACCACGGAGACTCAAGAAGTCCGTCTCGGGAAAGATATGGACGTCGTAGGAGGAGTCGTTCGAGAGATAGATCCCGCGATAGGGATAGAGATCGTGATAGAAACCGGAGGAGACGGTCCAGATCGCGATCACGTTCAAGGAATAGAAAACATCGGTCCAGATCACGTGAACGCGACAGGGAACGTGAAAAGGAGAAAGAAAAGGAAAGGGAGAAGGAACGCGAGCGCAGGAAGAGAGGTTTACCACCAATTAAAAAAGATAACTTGTCAGTATGCAGTACTACACTCTGGGTGGGGCATTTGTCAAAGTTAGTTCATCAAGAAGACTTGTCTGATACTTTCGGTGAATTTGGGGAGATCATCAGTATTGATTTGATTATTCCGAGAGGATGTGCGTTTATTGTTATGGATCGACGTCAGGATGCTGCACGATGCTTAACGAAGTTGAAGAATCACAAACTTCAGGGTAAGGCTATTACTTTGGCGTGGGCGCCTGGTAAAGGAGTAAAAGGTAAAGATCTGAAGGATTATTGGGAGGGTGATCTTGGAGTGTCATATATACCGTTTGCCAAGTTGCGTCAGGATATGGATCTTGAACTGCTTGAAGATGGTGGTATGATTGACGAGGACAGCGCTCCTGATTGGATGAAGGCTAAGATCGCCGCGATGTCTTCGAATTCCTTGAATAAAGAGGGTGGAGTTGATAATAAGGTTATCCCAGCGCCTTTCATTACAATGCCAGAAGCGTCATCCGGTTCGGTGGATACAAGCCAACCACCTCCGGTTCCCAATGCTGGATTGCTACCACCACCACCAATGCAATTACCAATGGTGTCACCTTTCCAACTGAATAATCGATTACTAGGTATGCCGCCTGGTATGATGCCAAATGTACCAATGGGTGTGCCACCACCGAATCTACCAGGTGCTCTTCTGACTAATTCACTTCTTGGTATGGGAGGTCAGTTTCCTCCGGGGTTGTTAGCTCCTCCTCTCGCGCCACAACTTGCTCAAGGCGGTAACATGGACAATAAGAATGCTCAGGATGTAGGCGGCCCACCTCGCAATCTCCCTGAGGCTATGATGCCTTTCAGTTTGATCCCACCGCATCCACCACCAATGTCACTGCAAACATCACATCACGATGACAACATGGATGTTGAAATGGAGGATGCAGAGAAACCCGATAAACATATGGAGGCATCACTTCATATGATGGGTGGTATGCCAGGGAACATCAATAGTTACAATGGTGATGGTAATTTGATGGGTAGACGAGATCATCCTGGTCTTGGAAGGGATGGCCGTGATGATGATATGCCAAGAGGACGAAATCGTAGGGATAGCAGAGAACGTGATCACGGTGATCGCAGGGATAGAGACAGAGATAATGGAAGAGATCGTGGACAGCGCTGGGGTAGGGACAGCCGGCCGGAATCTAGAGATGAGCGCCGGGACCGTGAGAAGGCTTTGAATGACCGCCTGCGACAAATGGCGGGTGATAGCAGTTTCCGAGATGAACCAGAACCGCCACCTCCATCGTTATTAGATAGGGCTATGTTCCCCGGTTATAATGGGGAAGGTCCAATGGATTTGGAGAGGTTTAGGCGACGTCCAGATGATTATCCAGTGGGACCCGACGGGTTATCACCTCCAAGATATCCAGACTACGATAATTCCTTTGAAGGACCTCCCCTGGAGTATGGTCCACCTATTGATTTTGAAGGTCCAGCTTTAGAGTATGAAGCGTTAAGGGAGTACGATGATCGATATCCACCAATGCGGGGAGATAGATTTGATGACCGAAGGCGAGGTGACTTCTTCCCTCCAAGAGATTTTGGAATGCGAGGCCCTCCAAGATTTCGAAGTCCTGTAGCTGGAATGGACATGTTTGGGCCTAGGGGTGGACCGCCATTAATGAGACCTCATATGTTTAGAGGTGGACGAGGACCACGAGGAGGTACGTGCCCCAATTTATTAAAATTAAATTAAATTTTCATGAATAATATCACGCCGTTATTTTAGGTCCGATGTGGATGGATAGGCCACCGTTTGATGGCCCACCTGATTTTTACCGTGGTCCGCCCAACTTTGACGATGGTAGTCCACACCGACCTCGTCATGATCGCGGTGACCGCCGCAGATTTGGCCGCCATGACGACATAGATGATGAACCTGTACGCGAGGGTGGGCGTGATGAACCCTCAATTCCCAATGCGCCTGGTGGTGGAAGTGGTGGTAGCGGCAGGCGCACTAACAGATGGAGCAACGGCTCACCTGTAAGAGACCCGCAACCAACCGAACCACCTGCATCCAATGTAGACGATATGGTCGAGTCCACACCTGCCAGCCGAAGTGATGATGTTGAACATCAGCCAGAAGTGATGCATCAACATGAACCCGACGATCACACAACGATGAAAGAAGAACCAAAAGTGACTGGCAACACGACGCCCCTTCATGACGAACCCGCCGAACAGCAGCGCGCGCCTGCATCACAAGAGAATCAATCAAATCAAGACGACCTCACCCAGGAACAGGCCACTACACAACAAGATGAAACGTAAGCAACTTTCAGAACACCTAAAAATCTTCGTTTTCTACGGTTTTGTCAACGAGTTGATAGATAGTTAGTTGTTTGGGGACGAGAAATAGTCACGTTCTTTCATTTCAAAGCTAGGGATTGGGGATAAGTCGATCCTAAATTTGGGCTGTGATTAGTTTAATGAACACAGGTGAATCTTTGCATTCAATAATAAATTTAATTTTTATCCAACACATCAATTTCAATGCAAATACCACACACGCGATTGCGTCGTTCGAAAACGGTGGGTGACAGTGAAGATGTGCAACTGACTGTTAAACATGAAAATATTGCAATAAGATACAAATACAAATTAATCACAAAGGTAGGTTCATTTGTGTTCATTTGGAGGAACTAGTCACCTCGGAGGAACAAGCGCCAGCGTTCAAACTGAACGACTGGTGCAAGGTACTGTTACTTTTCCCTATAAAATGCCTAAAATATAAAAACTTGTATGCGCTTCAAGACGACACTAGAAAGTTTCAAAGCAATACATTGCACCTAACTTGAAAACTACATTTTCTTACGTCGTTTGATGCCCGCACTCAATTGTAAAACGTTGAAACTTGATGGAATATGTCATCATTTGTAATTTTGTAAATCATTTGGACTTGTAAGCTATGCGATCTGTTGCTAGCGTTAAACGCAACCCCCGAGAAACGATTGTTTAATGCTTGCAACATTGCTTTTTAGTATATTTTGTTTATTATTTACGAAAGTAACCATTTCTTTAACGTATTGATGAATGTATAATTGTTTACATGTTTAAACAATGCAACAGGCGCGAATACGTGTAGGAAATATCCCTAATTTAATTAATTGTTTGAAAATAATTGGATTATTTGACGATTTCATTTTTAAAATAAAAATTACCATTCATTTAATTGTACAAAGTTTTATTTTAATGCTGAGGCGAGTGTTTTGAATGAAGGTATTGATTTTAATAAGTGCGCAGTTTATTGATTATTCTGATCGAGCTATTTGCGCCTCAATTTAACGCAAGTAATGTATATAATTAAATTCGTGTTCAAAATACATAAGTATGCGATAATCAAACTAGTAGATTACCCATAGTTTCTTTCAAAACTTTAAATTCTTTGAAGGGAGGAAAATAAAAGAATATTTCGGAGTTTAAGGCGGGAAACTAAAATAAATATTGCAGACAACTTATTTTTAACATTTTTATAAAAGTTGCAATCGATACAATTCATTGATGCCACTTTTACGCTGCATATCTACAAGATTAACAGTGACTTGAATAACAATGAACAATAATAGAGTAAACCTGTTTGTTCAATTGCTGTAAATATAATTCTATTAACTTTCTATACGTATCATGCATTTTCTACATTTTCTCATTTTAATTTTATACCATAAAATTCAATTCTTTACTTTTACAATTCTTTGAAGCAGTAAATGACTGTCTATCTCATATTAATATTCTAACAATTAAACACAACATGTGCTACTTTTTACACAATCAATGTCAATACTCAATTCAACATGATACTTACTCATCAAATAATGATAATGACTACGATTAATATCATAAAAAACACAACAAAATTAACATTCTTAAAACATGACTATGATGCGCATCTAACATTCGTGTTATGCCGAATGTAGCGGTTGTTTTTTTTATTCTGTTGTATGTTAATGCAGTCTTAAATCTGAATGAACTATAATTACTAACGCGTTATGGCTTTCAACTTATATAATAAGTTGGTTGCAAGTATTTCCAATAGCTTTGCTCATTCTGGACGATGGGTGATGGCGTGAGGATGACTTCCGCGCCCGGCGCTGAACTGTGCGGCCCATCGACTATTACAGGTCGTGCTGGTTCGGGTTGAGTAGAATCCGATTTTGTGCCAGATTTACTCCGCACAGTTTCATTGCCGTTGTGCTTATGGATCTGATTACTGAGCTGCTCCACTTCAGCGCCCTGCTCGTCCAGTTCGTTGTTCAGCAATCTGTAGAAGCTGTCGTCCCAGTGGTTTTCCCAATGCGTGTCGTCGAGCCCTTCTGATGGTTCGTCTTCATTACTTGTCTTTTTAATACCGCTTTTATCGTCGTGGTAGGAGTAGATGCCGCGGCACTTGTTCGATTCGCAATACTGCTTGTATTTTATGGTAGCTGCGCGTAATCTAGTAAGAAAATCGGGCATGGCACGATACGCCACCCATGCAGTTACAGACGCAGGGATGTTCACGCCTGGGTTGTCGAAGTAGGTCAAAGAGAACTCAATACCAGGTTTGTCGATTTCTGTGTAGGGTTTTACCACCATGGCAGACCAGTAGTCGACAACGCGATATTTATTGGATGTATTGGGATGTTTAGGATGTTCAGTGCCTTTACTCAGCAACATGACTCGTTTCTTTGCCTTGTCGACTAAATATCGCCGCTTGAAGACGTAATCTCGGTTGGCAAACAATCTCTAAAACAATTCAATATCATGAAATTAAAATTACGCCACATTTAACCTAATATAACATAACACTGTACAATAGATGGCGTAACTTACAGGCCATTGCATTTCCCAGTAGACAATATCACTATTGCTGTCATGCAGTTTATCCTGCTCAACCACTTCTAATGCCACAGCAGTTGGATCCCACTTCTTTCGGTAATTAGTATCCATTTGCACACTGAGAAAATCCTCAGCTGTGACATCCTTGTAGTTGCCATAAACTTTGTACTCATAACTGCCTGATTTATGCGGACGTCTCCAAACAATCAAATCCTGTTGCTCAATAAAAACAGTCCAGCCATCATAGGTTTTGAGGTCTTTTCTGGTGTCACACTCACAGAAGGAAATAATATTCTTGTCTACTTTATCACAAGTAGTGCATTCAATGGTTTTTCTTTTCAATAGCTGAATATACTCAATCTCTTCCATATGAGTGCGCATCTCGTCTTCGCTGATGCGATTCCTATCCCAGTTGTATGCAATTCCAGCACTTAGCATCAGCTCCCTACCACGGCGCTGCAGGTGCTTGCGGATGTTCTGAGCAAAGGTACGCAAAGCCTGCTCCTCCCAGATTCGCGTATAGAGTGCAAACATTTGCTGACCGCGGCGGACGCGCTGGGCAACAACGCATTCGCACTGATGCATCCAAACCCGCAGGAGATTGCTGGAGTCATTTTTAAAGTTACGTGGGATATCACGAAGGCGCTGCTGAATGGCTTGTATGGCTTCACTGTTAGAGAGGAACCGGCGATAACTGAGCGCTGTATCCTTAAGTGCAGCGCGCCGGCGACCGAAAAACCGCTGCAGGAGCATCTCGGGCTGCACGAATTGCAGGAAGACTGCGTTGAGGTTAGGCGGGGTGCGCACACTGATCAACTTGATTGATTGCTGAATGCGGCGAGCGTAGCAGTGGAGTTGCATCGCTGGGTCGCACACGAACTTGATGGACGCGATCCAACTTGCACGAGCGCGAATGAAATGATGAATTATGAGAGGAATGCGATTATTGTGGATGGACGATCACTGAAATTTTGACATTTTATGAAAGTTTGATTAATTAATGATGCGATAAGACAACGACATGATAACCATGTATACGGACATGTTTTTAGGCGGAAAACGTAGGATTGGTAACGTCGGGAAAACGCCGCAATGTGCTGCAGGAATTTTCTTTGTTGGCAACCCGTCGTGCAATACAATGACTGCGCAAACGCTTTGTGATAAAAATAATTCCAGCCAAACCAATGGAAAATTTCGCGTGTTACATTCTTGTTTTAAGGCCATGACGGTCATGACCTTATAAAAAAATATCTGTTATTGCTACCTTATCCTATCAGTATTCTTATCGGCGCAGGAAGACACTCTTGCATATAAAAATAGCGCTTGTTTCAAAAATACAAAAAAGAATTGTAATAAAATTAAGATTTAGTACTTTAAACGTCTTATACAAAATCTACAGCAAAAAAAACAATTGTTTTATATTCTTAGTATAATAAATATCCAAGAGATTTCCTGCTTGCTTTTAATTAGTTCAAAAATGTGATTTAGATAGCGCTACGTTGAGTGCAGTGCAACAATGTAATATGGTTGCCTACTCTTAACGTCTGTTCCCACCATTGAAATCAAGTAAGAGTCGTGCATCGTGTTTGCCGGAACATCATCGAATAAATTGCACGAATAATTATAATTTTCTTTGCAAAATGTCGCTAATTGGATCTCCCTTATCCGTCGCGGGCTCCCGCATATCAGGAGCACCGGTTCGCACACAAAATGGTAAGTTCTACTTAAATTCCTTCACTGTTTCTTCGCCGTACAAATTTCCTTCTAGAACATAACCTACCGCCCATGAATCATGTGCTTCAGGTGTGAACATTTTCTCAATTTTCAATGATAATTCGTCACCTGAAGACAATTAACAACTTACAACTACTATTTCATATAATAAATATTCTTTCTAGTCATGGCCGCTTCTTCAATTGCCAATATCGTAAAATCCTCTTTGGGTCCAGTTGGGCTTGACAAAATGTTAGTTGATGATATTGGCGATGTTACGGTCACTAACGACGGCGCAACCATCTTGAAACTGCTCGAGGTAGAACATCCGGCTGCTCGTGTATTATGTGAGCTTGCTCAACTTCAAGATGAGGAAGTTGGTGATGGTACCACCTCTGTGGTCATCATTGCGGCTGAATTATTGAAGAATGCTGATGAACTAGTGAAGCAGAAAATTCACCCAACTTCAATCATCAGTGGATATCGCTTGGCATGCAAGGAGGCTTGCAGATACATTCAGGAGCATCTGACTATTCCAGTTGATGAACTAGGAAAAGATTCAGTTGTGAATGTTGCTAAGACTTCAATGAGTTCAAAAATCATTGGAGCGTAAGTTTTTTACGACTTTTGATTACAATCTCTATAAGTAATAGTAAATATTATTTTATTTCAGTGATGCTGATTTATTTTCGCAAATCGTAGTTGATGCTGCGTTAGCAATTAAAATCACCGATGCTAAGGGTAACGCGATGTACCCCATCAAGGCCGTGAATGTTTTAAAAGCGCACGGTAAGAGTGCTCGCGAGAGTATCCTTGTACAAGGATACGCTCTCAACTGCACCGTTGCCAGCCAGGCCATGCCTAAGAAAATCGCTAATGCGAAAATTGCGTGCTTGGACTTCTCTCTGCAGAAGGCTAAGATGAAGATGGGCGTACAGGTTTTAATTGAAGATCCCGATAAACTGGAAGCCATCCGTTCCAGAGAACTTGACATCACAAAAGAGCGTATTCAGAAGATTTTGGCAACTGGTGTAAATGTTGTTTTATGTTCCGGTGGCATTGATGATCTTTGTTTGAAGTATTTCGTTGAAGCTGGCGCGATGGGTGTTCGCCGTGTGACGAAAACTGATCTGAAACGTATTGCCAAAGCAACTGGCGCGGCCTTCGTTACGTCTTTGACTAACATGGATGGTAAATATTTAAACATTTATTTTAATGTTATTATTAACATAAATTAATTTTGTTATTAATTGTAATTGTACAGGCGAGGAAACATTTGAGACCAGCATGGTTGGTGAAGCCGCCGAAGTCGTCCAAGAACGTATCTCCGACGACGAACTGGTTTTAATCAAGGGACCGAAAGCCCGCACAGCTGCTTCGATTATCCTTCGTGGCCCCAATGATTTCTATTGTGATGAAATGGAGCGTTCCGTTCATGACGCTTTATGCGTTGTGAAACGTGTGTTGGAATCCAAATCAGTCGTTGCCGGCGGTGGCTCTGTAGAAGCCGCACTTTCCATCTACCTCGAAAACTTCGCAACTACACTAAGCTCTCGCGAACAACTCGCAATCGCTGAGTTTGCGCATAGTCTTCTCATCATCCCCAAGACACTGGCTGTCAATGCGGCGCAGGACGCCACTGATCTTGTTGCCAAACTACGCGCGTATCAAAACTCTTCGCAGACAAAGGTCGATCACGCTCATCTTAAACACGTCGGGCTGGATCTCATCGAGGGAACTGTCAAAGACAACAAAAAGGCTGGAGTATTGGAACCGACAATGAGCAAGGTCAAATCGCTGAAATTCGCAACTGAAGCTGCGATTACCATCCTGCGTATTGACGACATGATCAAACTGGATCCCGAGCCTAGCCAGGGCAAAGGAGGATACCAGGAGGCAATGAACGCTGGCCAGCTTTAAATTTAACTTTTAACTCATCATTTGTATTAACAAATAATTACACAACCAACACCCATCATTTTTTTGAGCTTCATTCATCGCAAGAATGTAATTAGCGAGTAAAATTTCACTTCACGCGTACGTTAACATTAATATTTAAGCGGCATTTACATTTGAGCGTCTTTTTATATATAAAAAATATATTTCTTAACACACTCAAGGGAAATATTCAGTTTTAGTTCACAAGGAACTTAGTTACAAGGTCGTTGAATTCATCAGCGTAACGCAGGTGAATGTTGTGCTTACCATCCGGAAAACGATGCAATCTAAAACATAAAAACAATTAATTTAATATAATTAATGCATTTTATCAAGAAATTACTTGGAGCCTTTGATGTGCTTCTCTAAATATGCAGGATGTTCCTCAGCAACCATTGGATCTTTATTTCCATGCAGTATGAATGTAGGACAGTTTATTTCTTTGATTAGTTCTTTACAAATGTCTCCATTGTTTTGTTTATAAATTGCTTGGAGTGCGTCACACCAATCACCCCACATTTTTTGTAAACCTGGTTCGGTGTATAGCTCAATCAAAGGTTTCTTCATTTTATCACTCCATTTGCTTATATCGCGGATTTCTAAGTAAATATTACGCAAATTATTTAAACATTGGGTTGCAAACAAAATTTTATACTTACTCTCGTAACTTTTGAGCTCTTCTGGTAGGACATAAGAATTGGCACCCCAAATAACTAACTTTCTAATTGATTCTTTGTATTTGGCAGCCATTATCATCCCTGCAATACCGCCATCGCTCCATCCCAACACCGAATATTTGCCGACATTTAAAACTTTCATAAATTCATGTGCCATTTCGGCATCTTTCTCATAGAAATCTATTTTAAATTGACGATCATTAGGTCTACTATGCCCATAACCCGGTGGATCCCAGGCAATAACAGTAAATTTATTTTTGTCTAATTTTTCAATTTGTGGTTTAAAATCGCTCCAGATGGTCCCTAACGCACCGGGAAAACACAGAACTGGATGGTCACCATTACCCTGGCGTACGTAATTTATAGTTTGACCATTTACAACCAACTTTTGCTCCTGGAGAAGCGCCCATGTGTAATTAAATTGACTTAAGTTAAGTATGAATTAATGAAGTTCTTACCATCGAATAACTTCGAACTAAATGCCGGCTAATATGCACAAAACTTTGTTTTGGTATGACTTTTAACATTTTTATGCCTTCTTATCTGTTAAATGAAAGAATTTAATTCACGTATCACAGCAGGAATGCTGTTGATTGGTTTAAAGATGAATTTTGAAGGACAAAGTCCAAACAGTGTCAAATTCAAGGTAAAGGATAATTGAAATATTCAACTAAGAACACATTCTGTTGCATTCGTATGTTTATAATTTTTATATCCTATTGTAAATTGATAAAAGTTTATCTGTGCATTTCCATAAAAACTAATATATTCTGGAGTAGGTTATACACAAAGTATCTTGAATACTTGGTTGCCTATGTATGTACATATTGCGTCCAAATATTGTTTGATCGATGTTCAAATGTTTATTTACCATCGTCATTTTAGTGCAGTTAATTTTACGCGTTTAATTGTTAATCAAATTGTTAAGTGATAAAATGTCTACTGGTGTCAGTATGACAATTGTCATGAATCATAATACGTATAACAAAGTTAGGAAATAGTCTCGAACTAAATCAATCGCAGACGCACATCATGACAGCAGGAATATGCCGCAATGCGAGTGCGTCGCGTTCTCCTGCTGCGCCGCTGGCATGCACAGAACCTCAAAGCGCAGCGCGCGGCGCGTCAGCTGACGTTTCGATGATGATTAAAAGGCCCGCGCGTGTTTACAGTCGACAGTCGAGCGTAACATGGCGAGCGGCGCGTGTCGCCACCACCAGCGTAGGAAGATCTGCCCGCCGGCGTGGTGTCTCGTCGCACTTCTTTGCGCGGCCGCCTCCACCGGCGCCTATCGCCTGCAGTATCCGTCCTTCGACGAACTTCACGTACTGCAAACGAGCGTCACCACCGATGGTGTACGACGCGTCGAGTTCGAAGTGCGCGGTAAAAACCTCTTCGCCGGTTTGCCGGTGCGTGCAACGAGTGTCGCAGCGGACGGGGACGCCGCCTGCGATGCGGACACGACGTTTAATAGTGCGGTGACAGAAGTGAGCGTGGCGGATGACGGCGAACATGCTGTATACGCGCTAAACGTACCACTAAACGCCAACAGGACGAAAGTTAACAGTGTTTACTTTTGTTTATCGCCCTTCGGCGATGGTGTCCAAAGTGAGCAGCAAGAAGTGCGCGATGCGAATTGGTTACATCAGGGCGACAACATCACCATCGACAGCGGCGCGTTGTGGATGGTCCGTGACCTTGACACTGACCTAGATTACGACGATAAAACGTAACTAACTTCTTACGCAACTCTTCCTTTTCCGCATTCTTTATGTTGATACTTGTTACATTCGAAACGGAATACAATTATGTCATGTTAATGAATAGTTCTCTTGCAGGATAATACGTGATCGGCGTCAGAGTGGCTATGATAAACTGCGCGTTACTGGTCTACGCGTTGACAGCGCACCAAAAGAGCCACACTTTGATGAAGAAGGCATTCCATTTCTTCTCGTCGGCGCCGAGTATAAACTCCGGTTGTTTGGGGTGGGTTTTTCCGAAAACACTCAAATCACTTTCACTCAACAAAAGGCGTCGTTTAGGAGTTCATGCCAAATTCCAGTCACTGGAATATTCCAAGTAAGTTTGTTTGTGAATTGTAAATTTAATCAAAATAGTTGTTATGATAGGTTATGTCATTGTTTTTGAGGTTAGATAATGTTATTATAGATGTATTATTCGTTTGCAGGCAATAAAAGGTTCAGTATCTCAGGATTCTGTTCAAATATCTGTAAAAATCCCGGTTGTGGAAAGTCCGGACCCTTTGTACATCTGCGTAAAAGAAGGCAGCGGAGATCGACTACTCGCTGAGTCCGTCTTAGAAAGCAGCCCATTTGTACATCAAGGAAGCGAGCCTTGGTTGAGTGTCTACAGTTATCAAAAAGGTCTACCGATATGGGCTGCGTTGATTATCATTGGCATATGTCTTTGCTTCTCCGCACTTTTTTCTGGTCTCAATTTGGGTCTCATGTCACTTGATCGCACAGAATTGAAAATCCTATGTAATACCGGCACTGAACAAGAGCGACGTTACGCTAAGAAAATTCAACCGGTGCGAAATCATGGTAATTTTCTACTGTGCAGTATTTTACTGGGAAATGTCCTGGTGAATTCCACATTTACTATTCTGTTGGACGATCTGACGTCAGGAGTGATTGCCATCGTGTGTTCTACGTTGGCGATCGTCATGTTTGGAGAAATCACACCGCAAGCTATCTGCTCTCGGCATGGGCTGGCCATCGGCGCGAAAACAATCGTCATGACTAAGATTGTAATGGCGATCACTTTTCCGCTTTCATATCCGATCTCACGCGTGTTGGATGTTATCCTCGGGGAGGAGATTGGCAGTGTTTACACCAGGGAACGGCTGAAGGAACTTGTCAAGGTAGGAATTTTTATGTTTTATTATTATTAGTAGATTGTTTTATTGTTTTTGCTCAGACTTGGGCATAATATTATTGCAACTTGAGCTCGGAAACTGAGATTTCTATTCATCTGGTGGCGTGATAATTATGAGTTATGAATGAGTTGGAAGTTGTGTTTCGCTGAGACGTAAACAGAATGTTTGCCGCCTTCTGCGAATTCATCTGAACCAATGTTGAGTAGTCATTTTGCGCGCGTGATTCGCGACTGTTTAAAAAACAATTATTGCAACTTGATCACGCATTCTCGTTACGTGGTGTATTATTCTTTTTATCTTGATTGATAACAAAGGAATTTGCCTTTGGTGCTTTGAGAGTTGAGCCAAACATCATTAATTTCTAGAAGCAAGATTTACTTCGTGTTTTTCAGTTATTATTTTATTCGTAACTACAAACTGACACTGTATTACAGTGCGTCAATACAGTTTTTATAAAAATTATGCTAAAATGATTATTTTCTTTGAAAGTGCACCAAAAAAAATTTGACGTGTTTACTAAAATAAATTGTGTATAATTCCATGTTTCAAGTATAAAACCGCAATTTATTATTGTAAATGCATTGTGTATCGCGCCTTAATTCTTTTCTTTTATTTTATCGCACTTAAAAGCGTACTATTTGTTATTTATAATCGCCGATGCCGTTGTTAGTTACATCAGCGTGTGTCGCGGCATGCGTGCGAGTCGCTCGTCGGAAAGCCCGCCACATGAATTTTCCTTGACCCAGTAAATGCAATGTGATTACTGCCCGGCATGCGCCAATGTCCGATTCATATCGGAATAAGGCTCTCGAGGTTTACAGTCTAAAAGAAATGATGAACCCAACTAACTGAAACAAACCCCCTTTACGAGTTCACTCAGCCCCTGGAGGCACATATCGCTAACGTCACTGGGTCACAGCAAATGTTGCACATTGTGTGGTAAATTGTGACGGCCGGAAAGAGGCGTATGGCGAGTTTTCAATGGATGGTAATGGCAATTGGAACACGCGTATTACAAGACTTAAATAGAAATTGGATTCAGTTTAAAATCGTAAAAAGTCATCTTTTGGCATTAACTCAACGTTCACTGGATTATATTTGGTTTGAATCCTGTCGGAACCGGAAAAAAGCGGTGTATGGTCCAAACGCACGCACCAAAAATTCGTTTTTCATATTTTCTTGTGCGCACATACTCCAAAAACGCGTTTGCTTGTTGTATTTATAACTCAATTTATAGGACGCCTCGAGTCATTCAATTTCACCTTTTAGATTTAGTTCGAGTCTCGTCCAAACCGAACCGAAGCGGTTTACGCGTGTCTCCCTCATAAAAATGCACAAATTTAAAGACTTCACACGCAAGAGACATGCAATGACTCATCGTTATCTTTTTCACTAACATCGAATCGTTGTGATGATTGTAATTTTTATGTCATCATTGTGATGCGTTGTTTGTGGTAATGCTATCGCTGAGAAATCGACGGGTGGCACGTTTATCACTTCGCGTTGCTCCGTACGCTGTTTTATTAGTTTCAATTGAAAATAATGGACATTTATAGACGGCATGTATGAATCAAGCGCAAGGCAACTCACTTAAACAAAACACTTCAACAATAACAAAAGCACAATGTGCTAATTGTATAAGAATTAATTAAAACTTTCATATATAAATTAAAAGAAAAATGTTGATGACTTTAAATGTTTTGATGGCAAATTAGTCATTTTTTTCTGAACATTTCCAGATTGGTCTCAATTATATCAATAAACTGATGTAGTTTATTTCAATGTAAATTGATGACGTAATATTCTCTCTGTAATACAATTCGATTACGTATTCAGACACACCTCATGAATAGAAAACTGTGGAGTTTAAGAACAAATTTTAATTTAAAAGTTCTTGTATGATTTTCCCTTCTGAATTAACCGAATTAACTGAATTGGTTTGGATATGGGTTAATCCTTAAAACGTTGAGCATTATACTTTGCACCGAATCGATGGAATTGGCGCGTTGAGCGCAGAAAGAAAATCGAAAAAAGGTTGAGGATGAGGAAGGCGAAAGTTTTGCGCGTGGGTGGTTTGCTGTGGCAGCTGTACGAGTAAAACCGCTGCGCGTTGAAGTGACTAATGAAAGCAGAACGCGATGTGCTGAAACCCTCACGAAACGAAGACAGGGAACAAAGAAATAGACTATGCGTGTTGGTGCAGTCTGCCGGGCGTAGGAGGCGGGTTGGAGTGTGGGGTTTGAGGAGCGGATGGTGGACGTTTCAAGGACTCGCTGAAAAAGTCGTAGCGTTTTACGATGTTAGGAAAGGCGTGCGAAAGGAAAGTAATCAAAATAGGTGCGGGCATGTTATAATTGACTCACCTTTTATGGGCGAATTAAAATTTGCACATAAAAATCGATTTTTACAGCAATTTTTATCTATTGCATCAAAATTTTATTACAAGTTTCCGAAATTTATTTGTATTGCGTACAATTAAACCTGAATTAGATAATATTTCATCCGGGATAAACTAAAATTCGCTAAACTTAAAAAAAAGGAAGATGTATAATTCTTAATTTAAGATAAAACCACTTTTATCCACTTTTTATTGTGCTTTATTGATATTGTCTGTTGATTTTATATTACCTCACGATACCTTGATTAACCATCAATTAGTTGCGCAATTTTCCAAAGCATCATCCGTATCATCAAGTCACGACATTTTTTATTATACGCTCGGAAAGAATTCCCCAGACGATTGAACACATCATAATGATGTGCTACGATATGAAAGCGTGACGTCTTGTGCAAGATGCGCATATTATTGATTCAGCAATTCAGCGATAGTGTTAATCTAATGTGTGACAAGCAAATTAATAACTATAAAATAATTGCTTCCTTTGTATGCTTGCATTATTTGATCATGTATTTGGAAAATGCTTTGTGTAAAAGAGAACAATTTGTCAATCAAGCTAATTAACCCTAGTAAAACAAATCAATAACCCTGTCACAGCAAGGATGGAGGTCTAGTGAACTAATTGCATTGGCGTACGGTGTTGTACCTACGTCGGAAATAATTGCTAATGCTAACTAATTGACTGCGATTATTCATTCATGTCTATTTATTATAAGGCGATAACAGAAAGTAATTGGGAGTGCAATTATATTATTGCTGCATTTAATTATTTAAGCAATCTAAATTTTGAAATATTTATATTTTTCACATATATATTTGATTTATTTTTTATATTTAAGTTTTTAATAATGATTCAACAGCGTCACGTGATGAGGGTTATTTTATTTTTGTAAATTTAAAGCGGTGATTTATTATTTTGTTATTAAAGATGCTTTCGTTTATGCACGAGTGTTGAATGTTGACGTTTGTTTGAAAAGTTTGCCAAGGAGGACGAAAATAGATCGAAGATCTGCGTTCACAGAGAGATAATTGATTTTGGTTATAGCTATATAAATTATTAATTTTAATACGAGTACATATTTAGGAAATCCTGTTTTAAATGGATTTATCCAAGTTATTTTTGACTTTTAATTTTGAACAATTTTATAATTCAGTGATTTCATTGTTTTTCTTCAACCGCATCTTTGAAACGGTTAGTGCGCGGAAAAAAAACTTATGTAGGTATTAAAGGTACCGCGGAAAAAAAATCCAAATTGTGACAACAACTTGTGTCAACTTCATTTTTTACATTAAAACTGGCTATATGTTAGATCCTTGAGTGCCAATTCACTACAAATCAATTAATACCTGATTTACTTTGAACTTGGTAGTGATCTTAATTTAATGCAAAAGTACAAACTGTGACGTCAATTCAAATTTAATCTAAGTACATAAGTACTTATATTAAAAATAAGCCGACTGTGTCGTGCATTGACCCAATTATCACATTTTTAAGTGTCGCGTTTCGCTAAAGAAAAAAAAATTATATAGCTCATGTCTCATGATATATATCGCATCATTCACGCCCACGCTTATACGAGTGCGGTTGTTATGTTGTAGCATTATCAATTTGGAGTTATTTCTACGGCACGTTTGATTCACATGATGTTTGATCAGTTATACTAAGTATATTTATGGAGTGCAATAATTGTGATCAGTATCAGTGAGGGAGTTTCGCGTTCAATGTTCCATCCATTCCATTCATTGGTTGTTATGCTTGATAGATTCCAGCACGTGCCGCAACTATAGATAAAAACATGACTACACTTCAATAATATTTAGCATTTAACATTGTAAGTATAATAAGCGTATGCAATGAAGAGGCTTTTCTAAAACAAATAGCTTTAAAATTTCAATATTTAACATTAACTAACACAACTATCAATAAGTGTTAATCATTCATTTTTAAAACAACGAATTATCACGCCTTTTGTTTGCGCATTCGCCGATCAATACACGAACCACGCGCAAACAAAGAAATATCCAGGTATTAATTAAATTACTGTTTGTTTTTCCACTCATCACTCGTCACTTGCGCTTTGTGATTGGGAATTTATTCGTGGCTATAGACAGAATCGCAGACATTCACAAGTGATTCCCATAATATGACCTCATAATTTACCAATCGTGATGAATCACGGTGATATAGAAAAATAAATACGCATTTGTGTTTATTCAACTTGCAAAATATTGCTTTAAAATGAAGCGCATAGAATTTATTTATAAATGTATGTTAACTACATTTTAACTGCAGGAAGAACGATTTCGTTATCGCAATTATGCGACGATTCACAACATACACAAATCGCGTAACAGTAAACGAAACTAAAAATTTAAAACGGAGCATAGCCAGACGCACACGTTGAACACTAGGGTCTCGTGGTGCGCGCGTTGCGATACCGTCGACAGTGCACCACACCGTTAAACAACGTTAACCGTGATGTAATGGAATTGTGTAAATATTTGTGTGTTATGTTGACTTTGACTGGAATACATTATGAATCGTTTTTGCAATTATTTGCAATTAGAACCACTACACACGTACGCACATTTAGCAAACGTCAAAAATACGTTTTTTGCATTTTTGTGATATTGATATTTTAAAATCAATAAAACTCGGAAATTTTGTGTGTCAACACAACGCACCCTGATACCCAGGACGATCTAATTGTAAAATGGAGCAATTTTTGTGCTGTGTTTCTAAATTAAAAGGTAAACTTTTTATAAATATTGATTGAGAAAGTTTTCAAGTACGCTTTATTGCATTCGTCGCGGGTATTCCGCGGAATTCGTTACTGAGTATGTTTCGTCGCATACTCGTGAATCACCAGGCGTATTTATATTTGATTTCAATTTCACTTGCATCCTGTTGCGCTGGCAATGGCAATTTGTTTTCAACATTTTAACGAAATGTACGTGTCGAAATGCGACCGCACTAATTAATCATACGTTTGCTGATATGAAGTACAATTATTTCATTTAAACCTAAAAATTTTCCTCTGAAAATGTGAATTTTTCATATATTTTGATGCTGAACATAAACTTTTTTGTGTTTATATTCTCGAGTACCGAACAACTCACATTTTGCCATAAAGATGTGAGATATACAAAACTTTCCTTGCGGAGAAAAATCGTTTCTCGGCACTTCTGACAAGGAGTATGAGATACGTATTGTATCACTGTATGAAATTGCTTCGCGTAAAGTCGGTGAAATGTGCGGCAGGCATGCGTTTCCTCAAGGAATAGCGCCGCAAGCGTCGTTTTGCGTTTGTTTTCGGTTTTATATTTAAAATGTATGTGGATCGTTTGGCAGAAACTCAAAAATATCGATCTATTTTCATATTCCGTGTTGCAACACGCGCACACATGCGCACTGCCCGCAGGCATGCTTTATATCAGTATAATTAAATGACACCACGTTTTCCACGCACATTCTTGCATTCATAATTGTGCGATATTCTTGCCATAGTTTATTTTTACTTTTGTTTGGGTTCTAAATTAACCTTTGGCATTTTTCCTTTTGTGCCAAACTGCAAACACATTTAAAAGCAGTAATCAAGTTGTCGCACATAAAACGACATTTTTAAAAGTGCGATTAAAAAAAGTAATTAATCGTTAGGTTTTGTTTTGATTATCTGGAAAAGTAGGTATTGTGTTAGAAATTGTAACCCTTATTTGTGTTGCCTTTGACTGACCTTCACATTAGAACACTCCTTTTTGTTTTTTTTACGACATTTGCTGGGTCAAGTCTAAGTCTGGAGTTATTGAGACTTAGGTACATCATAAAGAGACATTTTAATGTCTTTGTTGTGAGTCTAGCTTTGATTTGTGTTTTGTGATTTTCGCGATCATGTTATAACCGTATATAAAAGTATTATATGCGTCTGAACTTGTAGTTTGCGCGACAAATCGATATCCTTCGCATTTCGGCGTCCATAGGTCACACTCACTGGCTATATTCGCGTAAACTCAACGTAAGTTTTCGTGTTTAGCGCCGAGTCGAGTTGGTGAACAATAAAATGACGTCGGCGCTAACTACACAGCGTCTATGTGTCTGGCACAGCTGAAATGCTAAAGCTATGCTATATTGGATTTCCGTTTTTTTTTGTTTGTTTTCCAAAGGTGAATGAGTCATACACCCACTGTAAACGGATACAAAGAAAACATACCAGTTCAAATAGATTTTAATCCTCACTTTTTCTTTATAATGAAATATTAAACGTAATTTATTTTTAGGTGACAACTGGTGAAAATGACCTGGACAAAGATGAAGTGAACATCATCAGCGGCGCGTTAGAACTTCGCCGTAAGACGGTCGCCGACGTGATGACAAAGATTGAAGACGCTTTCATGCTATCGTATGAAGCCATTTTGGACTTTGAGACCGTGTCCGAAATCATGAAATCCGGCTACTCACGTATTCCTGTCTACGAGAACGATCGTGAAAACAACCGCAAAAACATCATCACCACTTTATATATCAAAGATCTTGCTTTTGTGGACCCTGATGATAATACACCTCTGAAGACACTCTGCCAGTTCTATCAAAATCCATGCAATTTTGTCTTTGAGGATGTTACATTGGATATCATGTTCAAGGACTTCAAAGAGGGTAATAAGGGTCATATGGCGTTTATCAATCGAATCAACGCTGAAGGGGAAGGTGATCCGTTTTATGAAACCATCGGGTTGATAACACTAGAAGATGTCATCGAAGAGCTAATTCAGGCTGAAATCATGGACGAAACCGATGTTTTCAGTAAGAAATATATGAATTATTTGCGTGTCATATGTTTAAATTGTTACTTTCATAGCTGACAATCGAACAAAACGGAAGAGGAACGCGGATAGGACGAAACAGGACTTTACCGTGTTTGCAGAAAGAAGAGGTGAAAGCAATCGGATACGAATCAGTCCACAACTTACGCTTGCAACTTATCAATATTTAAGTACAAGTAAGTTGTGTCTTTCAACTCTAAATTCAATTTTAAAATGATAAATTTCCGGTTTAGGTATAGAAATGTTCAAACCACATATAATATCAGAAACGATATTGCGACGGTTACTAAAGCAGGACATTTACCATCACATCAAAAAGAATAAGGACTGGCGGAATGATCCCACAACGATAATCTACCAACAACGCGTGCAGGTAGATTATTTCGTCCTTATTCTGGAAGGACGCGTCGAAGTGAAGGTCGGCGATGAGAATTTGACATTCGAGAGTGGACCGTTTACATATTTTGGCACACAGGCTTTAAAACCAAATAGTATGTAATTGTTTTATGCTTTCGATTTTATTTTAATGTGCGCATTGTTTTTAGTTGAATCTCCAGCGACGATAGGCAGTTTACAATCGTTGAATATGGACAGCATGATGAAGCACACCTTCCAGCCGGATTACACGGTACGCGCGTGCTCGGAAGTGCTGTACCTGAAGCTGAAACGTAATCTGTATTTTGCGGCGAAGCGTGCTTCGCTAATGGAGATGTCGCAGCGTGACAGCGTGACGAACGGCGATCCTTTCGATGACGAAGTGGAAAAAGTAAGTGTTGTTCGCGCGCGGCGCGCCTCGAGACTTGTACAACTCGCAGTTCGGCACATTATCACCTCCTCTATCAGTATCAAGTCCGTCTTCAACTTTTGTTTCCTTTCGATTTTTTTAGTTTTATGCCCATAGTGATGAAACACGGTTGCATTTTGTTGTATCGAGTCCGCCCGAGCCGGACACGGAGGCAAATCAGGTATTTTTTATGTTTTCCTAATACCAAATCACATCCTCACATCTTTACACACTACATCAACCATATCCTGAAACATATCCAACGGTTTTTTATTGTTTAAACGGCGGGACGCTTTTCATTTTTTTTGTGTTTACAAGCTTTACCAGCTTTTTGTTATCGAATCAGTCATGTTTTTTTGTCATATCTGAAAGTTACCTTTTACTACCCGCATCACGTCGGTGCTTTAGCGGTGCGCTTTTGTCTTGTTTATCATTACCACGTTTCAACCGTTTCTAGTTGCTGCACTCGCTGGAGGACGACGGTAGCATCGGCCGTCGCAGTCCAGAGCCCAAACACCATCATCTTTCGCATCTGCAACCACCAGCTCCGCCTGGTAATCCACACACGTCGCAAGCTTCCAGCGATCATGACGCCGGCGGCGGGACGGAAAAGGCGAATAATTCGCTTGCCAGTTCCACCATGACGGTAGGTGGAGGCGGTATGGGTATGCGGACGTTAGCATCACGCGACCTCAATGGCGCCGTGAAACATACGCCCGCCGGTACCGACGACGTCAACGCCGCTTCCAGTGACCTCGAGGAAGAAGTGTCACTACTCTCAAAAACGTCATAACACACCTGGAGCGGCTGCACTGGTCTGCGTGCAGCCGGAATGCGCTTTTTCTCGGCGTCTCGGCAGCGGCTACCGATACGCGCGTTTTCTTCACTTGCCCTCTTGTAGATAGACGCACGACTTACGAATTTCACTTGAGTAGTATAGCCCTAGTTGGAATGCATGAAATGACGTAATTTGCAAAGATGTTTCAATAACTCTCCGGGAATATGAATAGACTAGCCGCTAGATATGAAAGAGTTGAACTATTTATAGTTTGTTACAATTTTGCACGTGTCACGAGTCAATTTTTACTGAATTGCTACTTAAGGCCCGTTGAAGATTTACGAATAACTTATTTATTTACTTAGGTACTTAATTAACTAACAAAGAAGTTTAATGAAACGTTAACGATACGATGCACATTACTTATATATGTATATTAAATTTAACTTTTAAAATGACGTAAGCTGAATGAAGATGGGAATGCAGAAGAATGATGAGTTAACGTAACATAAACACAATCAAACTGTATGTGAGATCGACCGTCAATTGTAATAGTTGTACTTAGTGCCGATAGTGCTGGATGTCCAATTGCTACTTAAATTTTTTGCCCGTGTACTTTTATCATATTGTTTTGTTGTATTTTAACAGCCTCAATCAGATTTTAAGGCCTAAACCGCCGTTTGTTATTTATTTTATTTACACGTTTGTGATTTAATTCGAAATCAGTTCTCTAAATCATGGTGATTATTTGCAATTACAGTTTATTTTTAATTATTTTAGCATGCTTTGTACATTATTTTTTGTTATTAATGTTTACTTGTTAATTTTTGTACGCGGTATTTTAATGCTTTGCGAGACCACGCCAACAAGTTAGCATCGAAAACACACAAATGCAAAAGCAACATTACAAACTTAAGCTATAAGTTTAGACAAATTATTATACGAGAAATATGTATTTGTAAAGATAAACTTTATATTTGTGATTGCCTTGATAATGATGATGCGATGTGAAAACAAACATAGGAATAATATTTATAGACTGCCCGTTTTTCTTGAGGTACTCAAATGTAACCTCAGATGGCGCAATGATGCATGTTATTGCTAAAAATATTCCGGCGAGTGAAAGTCGGCGTGCCTAGTGTTGTGTAGCCGGCACACAACCGCTACTTCGTGCGATAAGTAATAATACTTAAATGAATATTCCTGTTTCGTGTTGTAAATTCGTTATATTGTGTTATCTTTGCTGGAATTTAGTGTTAATAGACGGGTTTTAGTCGCTAAATATTTATCGCGTGTGTAATCTTCGGAATTCAATGTTTTGTGTGCATATTACAGTTGGATGCCAGCCGGCCATGTTGTGTGATTGTAAATAATATTTTGGAGTTGTGTGAACCATTTTTGTCTTCAGCAAAACACGACGGGCGGCTGTTCTACTTGGTAAATATTATTATTTATAAAATTATGGTAAATAAGACGATTTTTAAGGCAAAATTTTAGTTCCTCCGGAACTCGGATTCATTTCAACATTGTCCGAAATTGTATAACTAATGTTTTGTTTCTTGTTCATTTTAGTATCTACTTGTATTTGATTTACGGTGTTCGATACACTGGTGAGTGTAATTTTTCAACGTTCATAGTATCTCTGTTTCGGTTTTACGGTTTTCCTGCAATTAGAAAATTCTAGTCAAGCATTCCGCAGAAAATTTGAAAAAGGAAATTCAAACTTTTTTTATTACGGATGTTCAGAGCAACGTTTAATTGAAAAAACGTCGTTCTTTATCATAGTAAAATTTACTTTATAACTCATAGCTTTTCCGTAATTTGACTAAATGTGAACTTACATTTCCCGGTGAAAAATAAAATTTGAAAATTTAAAGCTTTTATTTCGAATGTTGCTATAAAAAGTCCACCTGAGCATTTTATTTTAGTAAAATTTTTCCCCTGGGGCTCATAGTTTTGCCACAATTTGATAAAATGTAATTATACATTTTCCACAGAAAAATTAAATTTGTAAATTTAATGTTTTTATTTTATATGTTCCTTTAAGAAGTGCTTCTGAGCAATTTATTTTAATAATATTTTACTTTAGGATCTATAGTTTTCCTGTAATTTGACTAAATGTGAACTTTCAGTTTCCACAGAAAAATTAAATTTGAAAATTTAAAGTTTATATTTTGGTGTTACTAGAGAAAGTCCTCCTGAGCATTTTATTTTTAGTAAAATTTTACTTTTGGACCCACAATTTTCCTGGAATTTGACAGAATGTGAACTTACATTTTCCACAGAAAAATGAAAGTTTTAAATTTAATGTTTTTATTTCGTAAGTTATTATAGAAGGTATCCCTGAGCATTTTATTTTAGTAAAATTTTCCTCTTGAAGTCATAGTTTTTCTGCAATGTGATTAAATGTGAACTCACATTTTCCACCGAAAAATGAAATATGGAAATTTACAGTTTTTATTTAGAATATTCTTGTAAGTAGTGCTCCTTAGCAGTTTGTATAAATCAAATTTTATTCTTTACTCATAGTTTTCCTGCAATTTGATCAAATGTGGACTAACATTTTCCACAGAAAATTTAAATTTGAAAATTTCAAGTTTTTATTTTAGATATTGCTATAAACCGTTCTCCTGCTCATTTTATTTTAGTAAAATTTTACTGTTGGACTCATAGTTTACCCGTAATTTGGTCAAATGTGATAATAGTTTTCAGCAGAAAACTTTCAGCTGAAAATTTCTAATTTTTTCTTCTGAAGTTGCAACAAAACGTTTTTATGAGCTTTTTATTTTAGTATAAATTGTCTTTAGAATTCATGGTTTGTTCAGAAAATCGTAAGAAATAGTTGGAATTGTTCATTGCAAAAATATAAACCTACATAGTATAGCAACAATACATGTTCAAATTGAATATCACTTAAATATTTGATGTAAAATCGGTCAATCTGTTAGCATTTGAAATAATAATTTCATGATTTGAAGTTTATTGTTTTATTAATTTTATTAATCTAAATACCGGGATTACTATCTTTAGCATTCATAGATGGCACTAGGATGTACTAAAAATCATAAAATCGAGTTATACGACTTATTTTTATATGTATCGATAACCGCGGCCACGAGAATAATTTTGTATGCAGTGCTGTTATCAGCGATTCAATATAAACAACTTTTTATCGCATGTGTCCCACGCGCCGTCTTTTCACGCCGCAGCAACTTGCTGCATGCAGCATATTTTTCTAGTTTTCGCAGGTATCGTGCCTATTGTTTGCTTTGCTGGAGCACATCTTGCAATATGTTAATACTTTGTCTTATAGAGAATTTCTCATAGATTAATATTTTTCAATCCGTTCCGCAATTGAATGAATTGGGTGAAAAAAGAAAAATTGCATTTTTAGAACTTTTAGTAACGTTTTTTTGCCCTTTTACCCCATGAAAATCTTTCACATGAGAAATTAGAATTACACAACTCGAATTTTAATTTTTGATTTGTTTTAATAATTTTAATTGCGGAACTACTATCTGGAACATTTATAGATTGCACTTACCTGAACTAAAAATCATAAAATAGAATTGTATTCTTTATTTCTATATTTATCAGCACACGTTTGCATTCGATACGAGAATTGTGTTTGTTTTGAACACGTCTTATCCCCTTGTAATCGCACGTTGTCACGTCTTAGTTTAGTTGTGATCGCAGGTAACATTCCAGTTGCAATTCACGCACAGACGCGTGCCAGCGGCGAGCGGCTTTGCGCATCTATTGCGTTTTACCTGCGGGGTTCATGTTGCAGGCACATGGTCTTATTGGGAACTGTTGCATCGTTGCTTGCGCTATCGATGGATTGCAGCCAGTTGCGTGCCGGGTGCTGGCGTATCTAGACGTGTTTCGCGCGACTCGTATCGTTTTATCGGACTCTTATTTTCTAAATTTGCATTGTATTCGGTGATCAATTTACTATTTAATTGTGAGATGCATCTGCCCTTGTACTTGAGTAAGTAACTTGCGTTTGATGCTAATCAGCACAGAATGTCTGTTTTTCCGATGTATGAATATAATATTATATTGTATGCAATGTTTTAATTTTAACATAACTTTTCTTTTAATTGCAGTACTTGCTGTGCTCTAGCAATCCAATGAGCACTACATTGGTAAGTTTTTATTAAGTTATAATATTTGGTTCAAATGTTTAATGACGTGCCTGCGAATTAAGGGTGCCTTGTCTATTTGAAACGACAAAGTTTGCCCTTTTTGCGCGTTTTTTAAAACACGCGGTGGAAAACAGACCATATTTCAGGAACCCTTTGTCACATTTTAGCTTTTTATTTATTTTATGATAAGGGCAAGAGTACATTTTTAAAATGCACCCCTGAACCCTCGCGAAATTCGGTTGTAATTGTCACAAAATGACCGCAAAAGTAAGGCCTTTTCTTGCAATTTTCAAAACGCGCGGTGGAAAACAGGCCATTTCTTAGAAACTCTTTATCATATTTCAGTTATTTTTCAATTTTATGATTGTGCAAGAGTACGTTTTTAAAATGCATCCCTGAACCCCCGCGAAATCGGTTGTAACTGCCTCAAAATGGCCGCAGAAGTTAAGCCTTCTCTTGCATTTTTCAAAACACACGGTGGAAAACAGCCCATATCTCGGGAACCCTTCGTTATATTTTAGTTTTTACTTTATTTTATGATAGGGCAAGAGTGCATTTATAAAATGCACCCCCAGAACCCTCGCGAAATTCGGTCGTAACTGCCTCAAAATGGATGCCAAAGTTAGGCCTTTTCTTACATTTTTCAAAACACTCGGTGGAAAACAGGCCATAGCTCGGTAACCCTTTTTTCATATTTTAGTTATTTTTCAATTTTATGATAGGGCAAGAGTGCGTTTTTAAAATGCATCTCTGAACCTCCGCGAAATTCGGTTGTAACTGCCTCAAAATGGCCGCAAAATTAGGCCTTTTTTTGCATTTTTCAAAACAGGTCGAGGAAAACAGGTCATATCTCGGCAACCCTTTGTCATATTTTAGTTATTTTTTGAATTTATGATAGAGCAAGAGTGAGTTTTTAAAGTGCATTCCTGAAACCTCGCGTAATTCGGCTGTAACTGCCTCAAAATGGCCGCCAAAGTTAGGCCTTTTCTTGTATTTTTCAAATAAAACGCGGTGGAAAATAGGCCATATCTCGGGAACCCTTTGTCATATTTTAGTTATTTTTTGATTTGATGGTAGGACAAGAGTGCATTCTTAAAATGCACCCCTGAACCCTTGCAAAATTCAGTCGTAACTGCCTTAAAATGGCCGCCAAAGTTAGGCCTTTTCTTGCATTTTTTAAACACGACGTGAAAAACAGGCCATATCTCGGGAACCTTTTGTGATATTTTAGTTTTTTCTTTATTTTATGATAGGACATGAGTTCTTTTTTCAAATGCACCCCTAAACTTTCGCGCAATTTGGTCGTATTTGTCTCAAAATGGTCGCCAAAAATTGCCCTTTTTTTACATTTTCCAAAACATGCGGTGGAAAATGGGTCGTATTTCGTGAACCCTGCTGTGGAAAATACATTCGAGAAACCGCTCCCACATCGCCTACTAGATCGCCTGACATCAACCAAAGGAACACCTATTTACCTCTTGCAATCACTTTTTGGGCCCACATATTATTTTTCAAACCAGTTCAAATAATGCACACAAGGAAGGACAGAAAAAGAACTTCCCGACTTTGAAACTACGGCACATTCTTTTAGTGCACTTTTAATTAGAATTGAAAATGTTTAGGGAATTTTGACAATTAATTTGATGAATGCTTGTAGGATAGCAATATGTAGACTCTTTATAAGGATTCTTACTAAGATTAATTGATTTACGGACAGATTTTACTTATCCAGCCATTTGCCACAAAGCAACCTTCTTGTACATATTTCAACATCATTATAAAGATTATCAAGAGTTTACATTGTATTGCACATTTAATCGCTTCACGACTTTCACTGTATCGTATTATTGCTTGTTGTTGCGCTAATGCGACGAGTTTACGTTATATTTGTGGGTGGTAATGCGGATAAGTGTATTTGGTAATTGGCCGCACTGTTGTTGATGTTTAGTTTTAACTCGCGTGGGGGCCTGTATAGAAGTGTCAAATTAAAGCAATATGCAAATAATAAGCAAAAGGTATAACAATACTAGTAACATTATGTTGTCCATGCAATAACTTTTGTGATTATCTCACAAATTGACCCCCAAAATTACATTTTTATGTTCGAAGGACTAATTTTTGCTGGTTTTAGGGATTTTGCACCTGAGTCTGACATCGTAGAAGAACCATTCTTGCATCAGATTGTAAGTATTAAATTTCTTTATCATTTTCCTAAATAATTTTTGTGATTATCTGGTTTTAGGGATTTTTCACCTGAGTCTGACATCGTAGAAGGTTTATTCATGCATCAGATTGTAAGTATTAAATTTCTTTATCATTTTCCTAAATAATTTTTGTGATTATCTCACAAATTGACCTCCAAAATTGCATTTTTATGTTCAAAGGACTAATTTTTGCTGGTTTTAGGGATTTTGCACCCGAGTCTGACATCGTAGGAGGACCATTCTTGCATCAGATTGTAAGTATTAAATTTCTTTATCATTTTCCTAAATAATTTTTGTGACTATTTCACAAATTGACCTCCAAAATTGCATTTTTATGTTGGAAGGACTAATTTTTGCTGGTTTTAGGGATTTTGCCCCTGAGTCTGACATCGTAGAAGAACCATTCATGCATCAGATTGTAAGTATTAAATTTCTTTATCATTTTCCTAAATAATTTTTGTGATTATCTCACAAATTGACCTCCAAAATTGCATTTTTATGTTCGAAGGACTAATTTTTGCTGGTTTTAGGGATTTTGCACCTGAGTCTGACATCGTAGAAGGACCATTCATGCATCAGATTGTAAGTACGTAATTTCTTTATCATTTTCCTAACTAACATTTGTGATTATCTCACAAAATGACCTCCTAAATTGCATTTTTATGTTCGAAGGACTAATTTTTGCTGGTTTTAGGGATTTTGCACCTGAGTCTGACATCGTAGAAGAACCATTCTTGCATCAGATTGTAAGTATTAAATTTCTTTATCATTTCCGTAAATGATTTTTGTGATTATCTCAAATTGACCCCCAAAATTGCATTTTTATGTTGGAAGGACTAATTTTTCCTGTTTTGTATTACCACACTGACAGTGTCAGTGTTTACAAACAAACTAGTTTTTCTTATTTCGTGTAATTCTTGTGCGATCGCCACGCGGTTGGCTTGCGTAGCCCGTTAGCCTTATTTTTGTCGTCAGGTGATGTGCACGCACATTTTCTTCATTATTCTTGAGTTTCCTAATTTATCTTCACGTTGTTACGTAATAATTTTGAATGCTTTTTGTATTGTGCGCGCGTGATGTGCGGCTTCGTTAAATCCGGATTGCACCTTTATTGCTGCAGAAATTGTTAACTGTTGATATTTTGTAACTGTAATGTAACTATTGTTAAATGTTGTCAATAAGACACAATGTATAATTATAATCCCATTCATATTTTTTTGTGGTATCCTCTTTGTCGTTTTCAGTTTTAAAGAATATGGCATATAAGTCTTATGTGTAAGCAGCGGGTATAAGATAACTAACTGTCACTTGAATTGTGTTGTTGTTTTTAAAAACATGATAAAAGTAAAAACATAAATAGAAGAATCAAATAACAACAATAAAAACACTCGGTGGTCGAGTGGAGACGTGCACCTGCTGGCATGCTAGCAGACACGGATCGAATCTCAGGTATGGAAGGCATTTTTCTCAAATATAAAAATATCAGGTGTAATTTGGGTTGCATAAATGAATTGCAACGAAATGTAAGAGAAATTGAAATACAAGTGAAGGCAATATGAGAAGAAATAAGAAAGCAAGAAGCAAGAGAAACGGAGAACAGGGAAATAGAAGAAGCAGAAGGAGTAGTAGAGAATAGGAGAAGATAGAAGGAAGAGAACAGAGAGTGAGTTGAGAAGAGGAGGAGATAGAAGAAAGAGAACAGGGGAGGATCAGATTTTTAAATTTTTTGGCACGTGTCGTTATAAGACAGTCTACGGTCGATCTCCCAGATCTCTGGTCGATCGCCCACTGCTTCGATCCGTCCATTGCTCCCGGCCCATCCTACAGCTGCGATGTCTCTGCGCTTCATCCCCGGAATTATCAGGCATATCAACAATTTTTATGGTGGGGGATCACCCCCAGAGAGAGGGAACTCCTTATAAGGACAATTCTTATAAGGTCTTGTTCAAATATTTCTAAGTTTTAAGTCGTTTCAAGAGAGTTGACACTTAGAAATATTCTTACAAGTTCTGACCTGTAGCTGAAATGAAAGAAGGAGAACACACATCACACAGGATACCTTAACAATTTTTATAGTGGGGATCATCCCCTGAGAGAGGGAACTCTCCTAGAGACCTGTGCCTGAAATGATAGAAGGGGTACACAAATCAAAGAAGTCAATATATCTTACTATTTCTTTATTAACAATAGAATACAAGTTTAGATTTTACAAGTCAACAAAATACATGCTGCCATATTGCCACAGAACTTTCGACCTGCATCGTCGCGTTCATGTAAGCTAGTAACACGTCAAAATATTCTACCGGGATAAAGAAATTAATAAATTATCCATTTTCTAGGTGATGGAAAATGTAAACAAATATACAGGGTGTCACAAAAGAAAATTTTATAGTGCATACAGGAAAACATATAAACACTCAAATATCACTCGTTTTTCACCGTTACTCTGGGATACAAATATACAGGGCGTTACAAAAAGAAAATTCAAAGTGCAAGAAGTTAAACTCTAATAACAGTCAAAGCAAAATTTTCAGGGATGTGAAGGAAAAGGATTATACAAGGTGTCACAATTAGAAAATTCAACCATCAAAGAGGAAAACATTTAAACACTACAAATATTGCTCGTGTTCACCCGATGCTCCGGGAAACTAATAAACAGGGTGTTAAAAAAAGAGTGCAAAAAGATAGCCCTAAAACCGCAGTTGAAGGAAAATTTTCACAGACACAAAGAAAAGTAAACATACAAGGTGTTCCAGAAGGAAAATCCCAAGTTTAAAACAACGAACACTCAAAACTCACAAATAAAAGCAATTTACTATGTACTGTTAAGAAAAACTAATATACAGGGTGTTACAAAAGGAAAATTTTAAAAACTACATATATGGTCAATATTCACTTCATGACGAGAGAAATTTATACGGAAACAAATATATTTTAACATAAATTCAAAGATTTTACCCAAAAATCATCGGAAAATTGAGTAAAAAGGTGCTAAAAGAATAAAACACTTACATTTTAATATATTGTGTATATATTTATCACTTGATAGCATCAACTGCATAAGGTAACCGACGGGTGACGCATCATCATAAATTGGTAGAACATTCAGCGGAAACATCCAAATCAGCAGACGACAAGCGACGGCGGGTGCCAATACAGTAGGAAAAGACGATAAAAATAACTAGTTACTTATAAATATCAAAATATATCGAGACTATGATAGTGAAAAACTATTCAACGTACAATATTTTATTAGACAACATGAAACTTTTTAATTTAATGATGTAAAGGAGTGTAATTCGATTAAAAACGTTCAGCGAAAAGAGTAACGAGCCGACGGTCGACGGCAAAGTGAGCGTGGCCGCCCGGCCGCCCGGTGAATAATGTCATTTTAATAATCCTCAGATACTTTTTTTTAACAATGCTTGTAATAATTAAATCATGCATGTTATTTTCGGAAACAGGGCTATGAATTCCGATAAAAAATGCTACCACGTGTTTGTAATTTGCAAAATTAATATCCCTCAAATGGAATAATCAATTTAATATAAACCGTATTAACTTTCCGCGAAAAAAAAAAATAATTACACACCTACCAGTGCAATGATGAAGAGATTTTAGATCCAGGAATATATCTTATCATCTGAAAACTCGTGCAGAAATTAACAGACACTTATTTGTTACTAAAGAACACTCTAACCGCCACAACTCATCAAACAAAACAGCCACACATGCTCGTTACAAATATTTAGCTGATGACGAAAAGAATACACGACGATTAATTGAATAATTGAAGTCTGAAAACGCGTGGATAGTAGTGAGACGCGCTCGCGGACCATGCGGTGAAACGACTGCCGCGTGCGTTGCGCGTTGCCAGGTACAAGGCAGGCACGTCGCGATAATACACGTCAGTCCAACAAAAGTAGTTTATAAACAAACGTAGTGGTAAACACGTACTTGAGAAGACAAAAGTAAAAATTCACAATATTGAAGTAACACACATACACGAAACTACTTTTATTTATTTATATATTGGTTTTGGAATGCAATAAGGATGAGGAAAAACAGGAATTTATAATTTATCAATACAAATAAATAATGTATTGTCTTCTGAGTGTCTTCGTATAAGTTTACTGTATACGTCAGTTAATTAAATTATTGATGTTCACAACATCGCGACTAATTTAAATATTCTCTATAAAATAAAGTTTTAAAAGTATCAGAATCGGAAAAATAAGAAGTGAAAATAATTCATAACAAAAAAATACAAGAGGCGGTACGGCCCTTTTATCCTAGTTTTTTTTTCCATTCCGAATAGTACAATTTATATTTTATATTTTATGAACACGACTCACTACCGCTACCTTCGAACGGTGCCCTGAACACGAGTCACTTCTACCGCTACCTTCGTAGGGTGCCCTGAACACAAGTCACTTCTACCGATACCTTCGTAGGGTGCCCTGAACCCAAGTCACTTCTACCGCTACCTTCGTTCGGTGCCCTGAACACGAGTCACTTCTACCGCTACCTTCGTAAGGTGCCCTGAACACGAGTCACTTCTACCGCAACGACAAGAACGGATTTCAAATTCTTAATATACACACAAAACTTTCTATACAAAATTAAATTCTCCATGATACAAAATTAAATTCTCCATCTAGGAAAGTTATTTCGAACTAATTGTAACCCCGCGTTCGTGTGTTATACGAAAAAAACAACAATTCGGAGCGCAACGAGTACTACGGCGCAAACACACAACTTGCAATATAACTCGCGATACGGAATTTTCTCTATACAGGGAGATACAGAATTAAATTCCCCATCTAGGAAAATTATTTCAAACAAATTGTAACACGGCGATCGCGTGTTATACTAAAAACAACAATTCCTAGCGCAACGAGTACTACGGCGCACACACACAACTTTCAATATAACTCGCGTTACGGAATTTTCTCGCAATAAATTTCTATACAGGGAGATACAGAATTAAATTCCCCATATAGGAAAATTATTTCGAACTAAATGTAATACCGCGTTTGTGTGTTATACTAAAAACTACATTTCTTACCGCAACGAGTACTACGGCGCACACACAAAACTTTCAATATAACTCGCGTTACGGAATTTGCTGGCAATAAATTTCTATACAGGGAGATACAAAATTAAATTCTCCATCTAGGAAAGTTATTTCGAACTAATTGTAACCCCGCGTTCGCGTGTTATACTAAAAACTACAATTCCTAGCGCAAGGAGTAGTACGACGCACACACACAACTTTCAATATAACTCGCGTTACGGAATTTTCTCGCAACAACTTTCTACACAGAGAGAGACAAAATTAAATTCCCCATATAGGAAAATTAATTCGAACTAATTGTAACCCCGCGTTCGCGTGTTAAACTAAAAAATTACGATTCCTAGCGGAACGTGTACTACGGCGCACACACACAACGTGCAATATAACTCGCTGGAATTTTCTGGCAAAAACTTTCTATACGATACAGAATTAAATTTCACATCTAGTAAAATTATTTCGTAATAAATGTAATACAGCGTTCGTGTGTTATACTAAAAAACTACAATTCCTAGCGCAACGAGTACTACGGCGCACACACACAACGTGCAATATAACTCGCGTTACAGAATTTTCTCACAATAAATTTCTATACAGGGAGATACAGAATTAAATTCCCCAACAAGGAAAATTATTTCGAACTAATTGTAACCCCCCGTTCGCGTGTTATACTAAAAAACTACAATTCCTAGCGGAACGTGTACTACGGCGCACACACACAACGTGCAATATAACTCGCGTTACAGAATTTTCTCACAATAAATTTCTATACAGGGAGATACAGATTTAAATTTCACATCTAGTAAAATTATTTCGTAATAAATGTAATACCGCGTTCGTGTGTTATACTAAAAACTACAATTCCTAGCGGAACCTGTACTACGGCGCACACACACAACGTGCAATATAACTCGCGTTACAGAATTTTCTCACAATAAATTTCTATACAGGGATATACAGATTTAAATTCCCCATCAAGGAAAATTATTTCGAACTAATTGTAACCCCGCGTTCGCGTGTTATACAAAAAACTATAATTCCTAGCGGAACGTGTACTACGGCCGACACACACAACGTGCAAATATAACTCGCGTTACGGAATTTTTTCACAATACATTTCTATACAG